TATCATCACGGGCTTCCCTGCGAATTCATGGTGCCCCGAAGTCCCTGTTCAGGAGGTGAGAATAGGCGCCCAGTTGCTGTGTATCTAAGCACAACCTGCAGCTCCATGCAAAACTTAATTACCAGCCCTCCTGCACACAACTAGAGTAACAAATAGCGCCAAGCCCAAGGAAAAGAAGTCGGGAGGTGGCCAAAGAGAATTCATGCAACAGAGCGACTGCCCCCCTACGCCTCCCAACAGAGAAAGACCCAGAAAACACACACTGACAGAGTTAATCAACTGAACACTCCAAAATCAAGCGATGTAGAGAGAGGAACTCCCAGGGCTAACGAAACTGGCTAAGCCCCCAACCACGAGAACCTTCCAGGACAGAGGGTGGCCAAGAAAGCCCATTCACACTGAATATATCACTCGCTGACAAGGGCTCCAGAGAGAGGACTGATGAACCCAGGAAGCTGAGTAGCACATACCACCTCTTCAGCCACCCGGAACCTGCATGGGGCACAGCAAAGCCCAGGTTCTTCTTTGAGAAGAATGCTGCAGCTTTTCCCAGGCGGCTTGGGGGTCTGGGGAAGGTAGGGGAGGTGCGGCTGAGGCTGGCCCAGGGCTCTTCCAGGCGGCTTGGGCTCTGGGGAAGGTAGGAGAGGCACGGCTGAGGCTGGCCCAGGGCTCTTCCGGGCAAGTTGGGGGGGAGGGGGTTGGGGCTCCTCCCGGCAGGTGCAGGGCAGGCAGAGAGTCTCCAGCCCAGCAGGGGGCATGGGAAGAAAGGGCAGAGCCCAGGGCTAGCCTCCCCAAAAGGGGGGCATCACCCGCCACCCATGCTATAGAAGGGAAGAAAGCTCTGGTCCTCCAGGCAAGGCAGAGCTGGGCTTCTGCCCAAGCCTCCTGGCTAAGGCAGCCTGCAAACACACAATCTGGGCCCACCGGCTCCTGGCTGGGGCAAGACACAAGTGATGCGCAGGCTTCTGGCCTAGGGGTGATTAGGCTGCCACTCCAGGGGCAGGGTGGGCAGCAGGGGGATCCAGCCCCACCCTGCTCCACCAGGTCCCAGCCCAGAGCCCTAACAGTGGCAAATGGTTCCACCACCAGGACAGCAAGGATCCGACCAAAACACACGGACCCCTGTTCTGGCAACAAAACCAGACTAACGTCTGGTTCCCCAGGCTACTTCCTACCCCGGGCTGGGCAGGGGGGTTCCGTAGGCCAAGGGTCCTCTGTCACCTTGGGCTCTACCGTGGAGGTCCATCTGGGCAACACCCCTCCAGGGTCAGTCTGTCGGTCTCCGCCGGGGCCCAGAGCACAGCAGTTCAGCTCCGGAGTTCTGCAGCAGGCTAGAGACATCGATCCCCTTCCCTAGCTCCCACTCAACTGAGCTGCAGGGCCCTCCCTTTATACTTCCTATCCCGCCCCAGTACTTCCAGCAGGAGGCGGGGCAGGTTTGGCTCCGCCCACCAAGAGGAGTGTAGCCATCCCTTGCTCGCATGTCTGGAGGGAGGCCACTCCACCTCACTACAACGCGCACAAGTTGATGCAAGGTGACTTGTGTCGACCTAAGTTTGCAGTGTGTAGACCAGGCCTCAGTCCTTTGTCCAGTGGTGGAAGCATAAATCAGTGTGACAAGCAGCTACGGCTACTCACGTGCACATGCTTTTCCTGCCCCCGCAGTGCTCGGGGGGAGAGAGCACTAGGTACCCGCTGGGGCAGGGAGGCCTGTAGAACCAGTTTCCTCTCATGCACTTGGGTTGCCTCTTTAATGTGAGGTTTCAGAGTAGCAGCCATGTTAGTCATGCATCCGATGAAGTGAGCTGTAGCTCACGAAAGCTCATGCTCAAATAAATTGGTTAGTCTCTAAGGTGCCACAAGTCCTCCTTTTCTTTAATGTGAAAGGCCTTGAGGTAAGACTAGGTCAAATGCATTTGGGTCTCTTGGGCCAGCAGAAGCTGAGAGCCTGTTGGAGGGAAGATGGTCAGCTCCAGGCAAAGAAGAAAGAGCAAATGGCTTTGTGGCAGTGTGGCCAAGTGGTCTGTACATAGGACTATGAGCCTCTAAGCCTCGCTCTGCTACTGATTTACTGCGTACCCCTGGGAACGTCACTTCCCCTGGAGTACTTCTGCTGGCTCATCTTTCCATACCTCCCTGACAAGAGGACAGCACCTCGAAAATGAACAGGGCTAAATAAGTGCTAAATGTTGTGAACAATATGATTGTGGCAGGAGGGGGCTTTGACGGGAGGCCAGTCCAATCCTCATCCAGAAGATTGGTGGCTACGAGACAAAGCGAGCCTTGAACTAAGGGGGGGTGGAGGCCAGAGGTGGGATTCAAACGACGCTTCCCTCGAAGGGCGAGACACGGTGAACTGACGTTCAAGCTGCGTAGCTAAGGCAGAATGCCACTGAAACCCTGGCCTCCCCATATCTCCTCTGCTGGAGTCGAGCCCAACTTTTACTACTGTTCACGACTATTTTTATGAGCCTGTAAATGACTCCGTGGGTTTATTATTTTTTCTTAAGAGGCAGATTTAGGGTGACAGATCCCCATGATCATGCTTCATCACGGTGTAGATTATGACATGTTTCTTGCCCTCACGCATCGGCGGAGTCGAAGCCTAAGCAGACGTGGGGAAGGACCCCACCACCCGTTCCCTCCAGAGCTCAGGAGCAACTTCTGTAGCCTGACCTCAGCCTCGGAGATTTGGCAGGAAGAACCCATTATCACCTTAACCAGCCCTTAACCGCTCGCCCCTCTCCCCCAAGCTGCAGCTGGCTCAAGCCGTGTTTAATACAGAGCAAGCAGGCCCAAAACCAAGCCTGTGGTTTGACCATAGCTACCGCTGCTCCATTCTCTGGACCTGATTCAGAGCCTGTTGAAGTCACTGGACAGCCTGGCAATGATGTGAGCGGGCTTTGGACCAGGCACTGCTGTGGATGCCACCCAGGGAGCTTCAGAGGCCATCTCTGAAAGGGAATCTTCGAAAGAGAAACTCATTTAGGCGTAAAGAACAGGAGGACTTGTGGCACCTTAGAGACTAACCAATTTATTTGAGCATGAGCTTTCGTGAGCTACAGCTCACTTCATCGGTGTAGCTCATGAAAGCTTATGCTCAAATAAATTGGTTAGTCTCTAAGGTGCCACAAGTCCTCCTTTTCTTTTTGCGAATACAGACTAACACGGCTGCTACTCTGAAACCTGTCATTTAGGTTTGTGGCCAAGAAGGGTGTGTCCCCCCCACCCCCCAATTTTGATTTCTTGTACTAGAAATTCAAAATTCAGCCTCAATGGGCCACTGGGGGAACGAGCAGGAGTCGGAGTGGAGACAAGAGAACTGTGTTTGAGCCAGGGGTAATTATTGTTCAGACTGTTTTAAAAACCCTAATTTTTGTCAGCCCCAGTTGAACTCAAGCCATGGGGCGCAAAGCTCCCTTGCCTAGGGCTTCCCCACCCTCACCAAGCCTGTTAGTGCAGGACTGGTCCACGTCTCGGAGTCCTCGAGCAAAAACAGGGAAGCCCAGACATCACATTCCCAATCATTCTAAACTTAAACTATCCCCAGCCCCAGAGGCAGAACCACACCTCCCCTGCCCCTTCCAAAGGTGCGGGAGGGGAAGAAAACCTTGCAGGCCTTCTCCATACATAAATAAGCTAACATGGGCAGAAGTCCATTTTTTATTTCCACCCGCAGGTCCTTTTTAACTGCACTGTAAGAAAGAACCCATTATCACCTTAACCAGCCCTTGGGAACCCTGCATCTACAGATCACTCAGCTCCTGCCAGCAGTGGAAACACATTCACGCAATTCTCTCGCCCCACGTGACAATGCTCAAGGGAGATTCACAGGTGTCCCAAAGCTGGTAAGAAAGTGGCATCTCCGTACCCTTTCAGTCTTGCAAAATTCCACTTGTCCCTTCTGCTGGGTGAGATTTTTTTGTGGATGGGTGGCGGTGGACAGTCTCATTAGTTGTTTTCCTTGCAGGGCAGGCAAATAGATTGCATCCCCGGGATAGTGGGTTTGCATGGCCAGGGCCCGCAGTCCTGCATTACAATCTCTACGGACGGACTACTGGTCCTGAACAGAGACCCATGAATGTCTATGGGGCTCTTCAGGGGGCACAGGAATCAGCCCATGACGGAGGCTTCTTTTTGGAAGGCTGCCTTGCTGCTGACCTATTCTGGGGAGGCCGTTGGGGGAAGATCACCTCAGAACAGCATTGCCACCTCAAACACTGAGAAATCATAAGGGCGGCTGCCCAAAAATATTCTGAGTGACTTAAAAGCACAAGATTTATGATTCTACTAAATGTGGGGGGTTTTCATTTTGCTTTCTGAGCTTTTAGAATATGCATTTTCCAGCTTTTCTGTGCAACCAGGAGGGCCAGAAATTTGCTTTAAAAACCCCGACAACAAACCCCCCTCCCCAAAAAACAGATTTCTATGTTATCACATGACTCCTGGAGCTGGGATTTAAATTAAAAAAAAACCAAAATCTCACAATACTTGTCATGCAATCATGAGAGTTGGCAACACTGATGAATGAAAGAGCCAAATTCATTTTAAAGCACTTTTTTTTATTGATTTCATTGAAAACAGAACAAGAAAATGACCAGAGCCAAAAGACTGCTCCTTTAAAATTGTCAAAAACATTAACAGAAAATAATAATAATAATAATAAACATGACGGCATTATGAATGTTTTAGAAGAGATGCACAAAAGAAAAAAACCCCTGTTACTGCACTAATTACAGTATTTAAAGATATATGCAAAAAAAAAAAAAAAATTAAGGTAATGACCTGCCCAGCCATCACACAAAAGGTGATGGCAAATTTATTCACACTACAATACTAACAATTTAAAAAAGGTTTTGTGTTTTTTTCCTGCATTTTATACTAAAATCACTTTGTTCTTTTTATACAATTGATAGTTTATATTCACGTGGTGAGTAAAAATCACACCAGAATCAGCACCGTTTTTGTTTTGTGGTTTCTTTTTGTTGTGTGTGTGTGTGTGTGTGTGTGGTTTTTTTTTTTTTTTTAATGCTTTGTCCCGAATGTTTTAATAATGGTAAAAAATAAATCAGTTCATTTAAACTTCATAGTGTGTGGCTTAAAAATTAAATCAGAGGTGCCCCGAGTTGGGAAAAGGGAGGGATGAGCTGGTGGCCATGGTATCTCCTCTCGCTGGGGTGTGTCCTATCTGATGCTTGCCCGGCCTTAAGCATTCTCTTGAGCAATGCCAAAGGTTCTTTATAGTACATGTATCACTTTGTTTTGTTTTTAAAAAGCAAACTGATGCTTTCAGAAGTTAGTGTCTTGTACAATCCCCGTCCCTCTCTAAGATTGCTCACGTGGCAGGAGAGGCAAATCCTTCCACTGGTGAAATCAACACTGAGACAGTAACATGCCCAAGGGGCAGAGGTGAGAGCTGGTTTTTAACGGAGAAAGCTTTGTATAGAGCAGGAGCGGTGGGGAGAGAATCTCTGGCAGGCTTGGAACAGAGACAGGGATTGGGGGGACAGGAAGGAAAAAGGATTCTTTTCCATTTTTCTTTAGGAAAAAAAATAACAGATCAGCGGATTTGGTAACCGATGGGCATCTGTTAGAAGCAAACGCCCTCTAGCTCCCAGCGACGGGACCAGGGAAGACCACGCTGCAATGTCCTGCCAGGTGAGGGAGAAATTCGTGGTTTAAAGGACCTGCCCCACAAAGCTGCGTCAAGTAAACCAATGTCAGAACCGTCCCCCCGCCCCTTTAAAAAGTAAGTTCCATCAAGTATTCAAAGTTTATTGTAAGAGAACTGGAGATGACTTGGCATGAAGGTTCCATTCAATCAATAACGGCGTTCTGAAGAGGAGGGGTAAACGCTTCCCTTGGCTCTGACAACACATGAAGAGATGGATGCTAGGACATCTTGCATGGAAAAACTGCAACAGCCATCCCTTTGCACTCACTGTAAAACCAGCAGCTTTCCAGGGGTGGAGAGGGAGGAAACCTACAACATGGAGTCCGGATTTGCTTTCACTTATTCCTCAAGTAACAGTCGGTGGCACATCCCTAGATGTCATGAACCCCTTGGCTTTCCTTGAATGTGTTTTCTCTTTCAATGGAAATTTCAAACAGTATCTGAATCTATCGAGTTAAAACAGTTCGGTCTCCCGGGAGCAAGTCCTCAAAAGGGGCCGGCTGCCATGGCAGAGCTGGTGTCGGGAAGTCCGGTCTCCTGTGTGTCCTGGGAGGATGTGCTAGCTTGCCGTTGGGCCAGGGCTGTGCTCGAGTGTTTGCACTTGGGTGAACCGCACTGACAGCTGAAGTATTTGCCTTTGATGTCCCAGAATCGGTCTCCGTAGTCAAAGCTGGAAGAGAGGGGGGGACATTTGGTCATTGGAACACAACAGGAGGGATGTGCGCATATTCAAACAATTACTTTAGGGTAGTAGAGAAGACCTAAACCAGAAAAGTTTGTAAAGCAGGGGGTCACACCCTTCATAGCTTAGAGATGAACAAATGTATTTGAGCATAAGCTTTCGTGAGCTACAGCTCACTGCATCGGATGCATTCAGTGAAGTGAGCTGGAGCTCACGAAAGCTTATGCTCAAATAAATCTGTTAGTCTCTAAGGCGCCACAAGTACTCCTGTTCTTTTTGCGGATACAGACTAACACGGCTGTTACTCTGAAATCTTCATAGCTTGTGCAGCCTGAATGCACTGCCCACCCTGGGGGCTCCCTGTATCCTTCCATCCCTCCCCCATCAAATTCCCTGGGTGCCACTCTCCCATCTTCTGTTGTAGGGACACCAACTGCCCCCAGGCTCACCCCTGCCAGGGGTCTGTGTGCTCTCCATACCATGGTCTCCCAGTCTGTCCCACACACCAGCAGCTGTGTGCACCCCATTCCCACTTCCCCCATGCCCTCCATGGAGAGGACTACATGGCAGGGGCTCTGTGTACCCCCTTTCCCCATACCAGGTTCCCCCAATCTCCTTTCCACCAGTTGTGTGTCGTCATTCCCCATTCCAGGGTGTCCCTCCACTCTCCTGCCGCATGGCAGGGGCTCTGCGTGCCCGCATTTCCCGCCCCTTCCCCACTGCAGAGTCTATCTCCCCCTGCTTGGAGTTCTGTGCACCCCAATTCTCCCTCCCCGACACACACACACACTCCATGCCACACCAGAGGCTCTGATGGAATCTGTGTGTACAGAGCCGAACCCTTCCCAGGAGATCCCTTCTAACAGGGGGTGCTGCCTGGCACTTGGAGGCAAAGGATGAAATGGGTCAAGAGGGTGAGGGCCTTTTCCACCCCAAGCAGGGGCAGAGCCCCTTTGGCTCAGGGGAAAGGTGCCCCCTAGAGGCTGAAACCCTTTGTGACATCCCAGAAAAGGTACCGTACCAGCAGCAGGTGGAGATTCCCCTCCCACACCAGCCTTGGTCAATATGCCTCAATCTGGACTTGGCAGAACCACTTCTCCTAGTGAGGGGTTGATTCAGTCTCTGTCATTAGCATCACTGCTGAAGCCAAGAGGGGACCATTCGGTGCTCCAGCAATGGGAGCGCTCGAGCTGGACAGAGCGCCACCAATGACGTTCACCCAGCCGGTGAACAGCATTGCGATGGCAACGCCTCTCCAGGAGTGCCTGGCGGGGACAGGCGGAAGGGCTCCGTGTCCTACTGCCAAACCACCCAGCCCCCTCTCCCACAGAGGCCGGAAGTTCTATGCAAGCCTCAAGAGGGGAACGGACTGCAACAGTTCTGGCACATAAAAACCCTCCCCAGCCACAAACGTGACAAGCCGGGAGGACTAGATGGCCCAGGGGACACCAGGATGGGGAATTCAACCCTTGTGCTCCACATGGCCTGTGGGTTATTCTATCCGGCTGGGGGGTGAGCACAGAACTGTGATTTCCCTTCCCTCTCCCAGGGCTGGTCCCTGCAGAGCAGGGGCGGGACCCTCTAAAGAAACCAGCACTGATACTATCCACGGTGTAGCTATAAACTTACTAGGGTCACGGTTAGGTGGGGAACAACATTTCTCTTTTCCTTTGCCATGTCCTCCCTCCTCTGGCACTGGAGCCCTCTCTGGCTTTAGTGCTTCCTAAATTTCTTCCTCACTGCTGCCTCGAAAGACACCTCCTCGGTAGTCATGAAGATGGTACAACAGAACTGGAGGCGCCTCGGCGAAACCCATCTCTCTGCAGCTCCTCCGACCCCTTACTGTATAGCTACTTGGAGCCGTCACACAGAGAAACTAAAGCAGCAGGGCAAGAACATTCCGCAAATTGTGACGAAGCGCTTGTGACATAGTTCCCTGATCACTGGGAGCTTACTGAGCCCTACCAGGCAGGCATCGGACGAGAACGGACTGCTGTCACTGCTACCCTGGGATGGGTGTGAACGGGGACACTTCGGTGTGGAAGGCTCCCTACGCTGCAACCGTGGCCCCGAGCCACCCAGCTCCCACAGGCAAAGAAGTGATGGCTAGAAGCCGTCCGTAGAGCCAAACACCACAAGATACACAACTGCAGTCTTGCCTGTCCATCTGCGCAGCGATAAAGCCTCAGACACAGAGGCTGTAGTTTCCTGTTGTTAATCACTACACATTCACCTTCCCACAGCTGAGAACAGCTCCCAAAAACCCAGTAACGAAGCTCGTTTGTAATGGGAGCAGATGCAATGCTGGAGTCTGGCACAGGGCTGTATGCTGCCCCTGCACCCTGGGAATTCCCCTGGTGACCACTGCAGCTCCTTTACACTGCCGGAGAGCGGTAAAGGGTCCATGTGGGGGCTGGAATCTGGCTCATTCTCTTTAGGCACTTACTCAGGAAAGCAGAGATGTCCGTACACTGGTAAGATGTATTAATGTTAGTCACTGAGAGATGGGATTTGTAAGTAAAATAAGACACCTGCAGGATTGAACTGATGAATCAGAGTCTGCTATTTCAAACCCAGCTCCCAGCTGGGGAATCAAAACGCTGCCCACATCAGGCTGAAAGCAGACAACGTGCCTTTTGGTCCAGTGAGCTTCCTGGTCTGGGATCTACTGCAAGCGCAACAGCAGCCGTGGCAAAAACTGCCAGCACAGATAGCATCAGTTTGGCACCAGTCCTAGGCCCTGGCTCCTAGATGAGGTGGGTGCTCTGCGTCAGACAGGAAAATCGCCTCTCTTTTATGGAAGTTACTTGCACTTCCTCATCCTTTCAGTACAGAGACTAGAGGGGCAAGCCTGGAGTTAGCGGGAGCCATGGTCAGGAGTGATGCAAACAGTGCTGGGCACTGGTCAGAAACCATACAGGCGTGGCAAAGCATTGTAACTGGCGTGGCTTCGCCCTTCGCTGGGTGTGCAAAACGAGGGCAGCTTACACGCTGAAGGGACTGAGCAGGGGTGAAGCAAGAACAACAAGTAACAGGAGAACACAAAAGAAAGCAGCCCCTCCCCCCCTTAACTTACGCCTGCACAATTCCCAGCACTTCTGGGGCCACAGTGTGAACAGGGGCAGCTTCCACGGGGCCCCATTCCAATGTCACTCCTGATTATCACCAGCATAAGTAACTCCACTGAGGTCAACAGTGTAACAGTGACACAAAACCAGTGTGAGTCCAGATCCAGGCCACTCACTTCAATAGGAACTGCACTTGCGCCGCCAGGGGCTCAATCTGATCCCTTCAGAATACAAAACTGATGTGATTTACACGGATTTTCTTTTACATAGTTATTTACTTTGTCCTGTCCATTTTTGGATCAATTCATCCCGGATGTGCTGCGTACGCTATCATTTTTGCCTCACCTCTGAATTCAGTCCCTCCCTCGGAGCCAAGACAACCTCTTCATCCAGCTTCGCTTCTGAATCTCACTTTAAAGTAAACGTCAGATCTTTGGGGATTTCCCACATGTTTCTATGGCCAGGCACCCAGAACACATTCCTGGCCATTCCCAAAGTGGATGGCCTCTGAACTGTCCAGTTAATCAAATTTAGAGCACTGTTGACATGGCGAACCCACTGGACCTATTGGTATTTGCTTAGCAATAGTTACTACTCTCTGCAATCCCAGCATCATTGGGGTGCGCATGTTGGAAGTTACAGTTAACCTGTGTCCTGGCCTCCTAGGTTACAAAACTAAATGAGAAGAGGAGAAAGAGGGAGATTCAATAGCAGGGTTTTACATTTTGTGACTCTTAACGGTAAGGACAAGAATGGAGCAGCTGTCATTGGGCCACCAAGTCCTCCATCCCTGCCTTGGGTAATGGCTGCAGGCCAGACTGGACGTGAGCAATTAAACATGCAGGAGGCCTCAATTCTTGCAAGAGAGAATTGGGGAGGTAATGAGCAGGCTGAAAATGAAATGTCTGTGCTATGATTTAGTTGGTGTTGGTCCTGCTTTGAGCAGGGGATTGGACTAGATGACCTCCTGAGTTCTCTTCCAACCCTAATCATCTGTGATTCTATTTTATGATTCTAAGATAAATAATAGGTCAGTAAGCTAAAAGACAATATCTGAGTGAGCTATGATAAGAGAGGGAACACCTAGGGAACCATTTATTAAGAACAAGATAACAACGCACAAGAGAAGTCGGGAGCATAAAGATGAGGTAAGGAGTAAAGTCGACCGTGGACAGAGCATGCTGCACAAGAATTGGGTCCTGGAAAGTAACCAAGCCAATCCCAAAACGTGCGATGCTATGTATAGTAACTGCAATGAAATGTGTACCTGTATAGAAGGAAGAGGTTTGCTGTGTAACTTTGGATGTATTATACACCCAGCACGTGCCCCTCACGCTGGAGTCTGATCAGCTCAAGGGTTGTTGGAGTGTATGCCAACAAGGAAACCTCGGTGACAAGTTTAGAGTAGAGCTGAGTTCTTGGGAACCAAGCAAATAAGGTCTCACAGGCTACCCCAGCAAATGCTAACACTGGATGCCGCAGAGGAAGGGTGGTCTAATGGTTACAGCAAAAGACAGGAAATCTGAGTAGCCAGATTCTATCACTGGCTCACTGTGATGTTGTCAGGGTCACTTGAGCACAGGATCTGGCCTTGATTCACATAGAATCATAGAACTGTAGGACTGGAAGGGACTTCAAGAGGTCATCTAGTACAGTCCCCTGCACTCATGGCAGGACTAAGTATTATCTAGACCATCCCTGAGAGGTGTTTGTCTAACTCTTATAAACCTCCAATGACAGAGGTTCCACAACCTCCCTAAGCAATTTATTCCAGTGCTTAACCACTCTGACAGTTAGGAAGTTTTTCCTAATGTCCAACCTAAACCGCCCTTGCTGCAATTTAAGCCTATTCCTTCTTGTTCTATCTTCAGAGGTTAAGGAGAACAATTTACCTCCCTCCTCCTTGTAACAACCTTTTATGTACTTCAAAACTGTTATCAAGTCCCCTCTCAGTCTTCTCTTCTCCAGACTACAAAAATCCAATATTTTCAATCTTCCTTCATAGGTCACGTTTTTTAGACTTTTAATCATTTTTGTTGCTCTTCTTTGGACTTTCTCCAATTTGTCCACATCTTTCCTGAAATGTGGCGCCCAAAACTGAACACAATACTCCAGTTGAGGCCTAATCAGCGCGGAGTACAGCAGAAGAATTACTTCTTGTGTCTTGCTTACAACACTCCTGCTAATACATCCCAGAATGACGTCTGCTTTTTTTTGCAACAGCGTTACACTGTTGACTCATATTTAGCTTGTGATCGACTATGACCCCAGATTCCTTTCCGCAGTACTCCTTCCTCGGCAGTCATTTCCCATTTTGCATGTGTGCAACTGATTGTTCCTTCCTAAGTGGAGTACTTTGCATTTCTTCTTATGGAATTTCATCCTATTTACTTCAGACCATTTCTCCAGTTTGTCCAGATCATTTTGAATTTTAATCCTATGCTCCAAAGCACTTGCAACCCCTTAGCTTGGTATCATCTGCAAACTTTATGCCATTATCTAAATCATTGATGAAGACATTGAACAGAATCAGACCCAGAACAGATCTCTGTGGGACCCCACTCAATACGCCCTTCCAACTTGATTGTGAACCACTGATTACCCTCTGGGAACCGTTTTCCAACCAGTTATGCACCCACCTTATAGTAGCTCCATCTAGGTCATATTTCCCCAGTTTGTTTATGAGAAAGTCATGTGAGACAGCATCAAAACCCTTACATCCCATGGAACTCCCTCTAACTTGATAGGGTTACACAGAGTGAGAGAAAGGGGAGCGCTGTGTTCTCTGGGGCTGATTCTTCACTGCCTGGCACCTTTTGTTGTCATTTACACCTGGGCAAAGCAAGCGTGAGACTCCACGTTTCTGATCTAGTGAAGCGGCACACCCACTCTGCACTCTACAAGGCAGCAGAAGCCCTATACTGCTCCATTTCAATCTGCCCAGCGGTAAATAGAGACAGTTCCTGACTTCACAAGCGGGGGAGTGCAGGAGATGAAATACATGTTTGCAAACTGCTTTGAGATCCCTGGAAGCATTAAGGGAAAGACAAACCCAGAATGCACCTCATCAGTGGGGCAAGGACATGCACAGAAGGGAAAATTCCTTCCCAACTCCTGTTATCCCCTTATCCCATAAGGCATGAGGCTTGCCTACCCTTACCAGAGCCTGAAATTGACTGACAACAATAAGAATACATAGCTCTTATGTAAGTGTGTTTCATCAGTGGAGCTCACAGCACTTTACAAAGGAGGTGAGCATAATTTCTGTTCTATTTACCAATGAGGAAACTGAGGCACAGTGACTTGCCCAGGGTCACCCAGCAGGCCACTGGCAGAGCCAGGAATAGGACCTAGGTCTCCCGAGTACCAGACCATTTTGCTAACCTGTTGGCCACTATCCCTTCCCCAACCATGGAATTTCCCACTCCCTGAGAAACCTAAGCAGCACACCAAGTGTTAGCTTTTTCACAGCTGCAGGTTGGGCAGATGTGTCGCTTTGGAAAGAGTCATCTCTAGCCTAGCTCCTAGATTCAGAATGACCCAGAAACCCCACAAAATTTGGAACTGATTTGCCCTTCTACTGTTCCCCAGCTGGGAGCTGGGTTTGAAATAGCAGACTCTGATTCACTGGTTCCAAATGTTGTGGGGTTTCTGGGTCATTCTGAATCTAGGAGCTAGGCTAGAGATGACACAAGGACAATTCCCAGGGGAAAGGCAGACCCTGTGGGTAGCACATACCCGATTTCCTCGCCAGCTTCGATCTGCCTGGTGCTGAAGAAGGCGATCCTGGGAAAGCGCAGGTCCTGGTGTGACATGAACACTCGCACAGGAGTGAGGTTTGGCTCACAGAGATGGTTTATAAAGCGGCTGATGTTGCCATAGAAACGAGCATCTATGCAGTACACCTCTCCATCCTAGAGGGAGGAACAGTGAATGTTTCGTTAGGTGGAGTTATTTAAAAGCAGCTGAGATACAGGTCACTTCACAGTTAACACACAAAGGAATTTCAAGATCTTTCAAAATATTGGAGTCTCGGACTCTCCTGCTTGAAGGCTTAAAAGGCCAAACCATTAGGCATTACAAAATATACATCTCTTCACAAAGCACTTAGCCTGCATGCCTGGAGGCTGTTCGAAACACTCCTGACCTAAGAAGCTGAGCGAGCAGCTCGGCTCTCCACAAACCTGCTCTGCTAAGGCACTAATCTGTTCCAGCGGCACTCCTGCTCCATGCAAACACACACCTGGTGGGTAAACGGCCAGCGGACTCAGGAAACAGCATCTCTCCGGTCCTGCTAATTGAACGTGACAGCTGAGAAGCACAAAGCCAGAGCTCACAGCAAACACACTACTTCCTGAAGACTACAGCGAAAGAGAGAACACAGAAACCCTCTCTTTCCCTAATGCCCTCGCAGCAGTTATCGTAATATTTTGTTTTCCTTGAAAATAAGAGACTCCCTCAGGGCTTTTTATTCCAGCGCAGAATGACTGTGCAAACTGCAAGCTTTAATTACAGAAGCTAATTTCAGTCACACAGAAGCCAAAAGCAAAAGGATCCATTAGTGGAGCTCACATCCCCTTCTGGGCAAGCACCTCACAATCTTTAATGGATCAGCTGTGCCAGAATTCTACCAGCCAACTGATACAGGAACCCCAGGAGAAGACATCTGAAGATATGAAAAAGATACACACTTGGTCTACACTGAGCAGCCTGCTACAGGTTTTAAAATTTAGCAGGCTTTGCAATTTTAATCGTATCTACTTCAGTTTGGGGTACGGAGAGTCAGGTCAGGGGAAGAGTCTGTTGGATACAAAGGGTTCAGAATGTCCACCTTAGGGTATGGTGAGCAACATGTCGCTCATTCCACAGTGAACGGAGAGCAATGAGAACTTGATCAGAGGGCTTTAGAGAAGGTGCCTGAGCTGTTTACACTAGAAGGGCAATAAAACCCACCACACTAGGATTTCAAAGAGGGTTTAACCCTGAAAGCTGGTCACTGGGGTGGAAAGGTTCAGCTTCTTCAGCTGTGATTCTGTGCACGAGTCTCTTCCCTGGTTTTGCATGATAAGCAGGAGCAGGGTACGTGCCTGGCGCTCTGCAGGTGCATCGAGCCTGCCAACATCACCGTGTGTTGACAAAATGAGGCTCTAGTTAAGGATTCATGTCAGGAGCCAGGGAGAACCAATGTGAACGGTAAAGAGGCATGGGGGTTGTTTGCCCTCCCTCTTTTAACAAAGAGAAAGCAACATAGAAAGGGGGAGGTTGAGGGAATGGATCACACAGTGAGACTTGAGATGTGGGCCTGACCCTGCCACTCTTATGCAAGTTCTTCCTCATGGACATGGTCATTGTTGACTGCAGTGGGACCTAACTGCATAAGGAAGGGCTGCGGGAGCTGGTCCTGTGTTTGTGACATGCAAAGTCATTTCCAATACCACCGTGAATTGAACTAAAATGTCGTTCAGTAACGGGGTGAAGGATGGCCTTGTGGGGAGATGCATCACTGGGAGTCACAAGACCAGGGTTCTAGTCTCAGCTCTGCCACAGACCAGCTGGGTGTCTTTTGGCAAGTCCCTTAATCATTCTGGGCTGGGATGCGCTGGGAAATCATTGTCTTAAACACATTAACTAACCCCATGTAAAACACAATGGAGCCTTCGAATGTACATGCAATAGCCTTCATTTCCCCTGTATATTAAATGGGGTGATACCACCTAGGTCAAAGGGGGGCGTAATTCATTAATGTTTGCGATGTGCTTGAGATCTTCACATGAAAGGTTCTAAAGGAGAGTCAAGTGTTACAGTTAAAGCAGGCAACTCTCATTAGCAAGAGGCTGCAACTGATAAAACCCAATCTCATCTTTCCCAAAGATCCCGAGAGAATGTGTGTTTCTCTGCATTTTGCTAATACAAAAAGAAGATGACGGTCCTTTTAAAAGGGGAAGACCAGACAACATCCACTATAGTATATCCTACCCAAGAGGATTGGTCCTGCTTTGAGCAGGGGGTTAGACTAGATGACCTCCTGAGGTCCCTTCCAACCCTGATATTCTATGATTCTATGATAAGAGCAGTGAATTGGCAGAGAGTTTGGGCAATTAAACAAATGTTTGTCTTTTTTCAAACAGTGAACAGGATCTGTATGTAGGACCCAGCATGCTAAATAAATCACAGCTCACACAGCCTGGAGTGACAAATAAAGATAACTAAAATAATCCCCCTATCGCTCCTTTGTGCTACAGCGCAAACTCAAACTCAGCCATTCTGCAGTGATGCTGAGTTTTGTGAGGCTGTTGCCTGGCTGGGTGGGGCTTAGCGGCCTCTTCTTTCATAGATTTCAAGGCCAGAAGCATCCACTGCAATCATCTTGTCTGACCCCTGTATAACACGGGCCATAGAACTTCCCCAAGAATAATTCCTAGTGCATGTGTTTTAGAAAAAAATCCAATCTTGATTTAAAAACTGTCAGTGTGGGAGAATCCACCATGACCCTTGGCAAATTGTTCCAATGAGTAATTACTCTCACTGGTAAAAATTTCCACTTTATTTCCTGTTTGAATTTGTCTAGCTTCAACTTCCAGCCATTGGATCATGTTATATCGTTCTCTGCTAGATTGTTATCATTAAGTATTTGATCCCCACCCACATACTTACCGACTGTAATCTAGTCACCCCTGAACGTTCTCTTTGTTAAGCTAAGTACATTGAGCTCCTTGAGCTATTACTATGGTTTCTAATCCTTTAATCATTCTCCTGGCTCTCCTCTGGACTCTCTCCAATTTATCAACATCCTTCCTGAATTGTAGACCCCAGAACTGGACATGGTATTTCAGCAGCAGTCACAGCAGTGCCAAATACAGAGGTAAAATAACCTCTCTGTTCCTACTCACGAGGTCTCCTGTTTATGCATCCCAGGATTGCATCGGTGTTTTTGGCCACAGCATCACACTAGGAGCTCATGTTCAGCTGAGTATCCACCACAACCCCCAAATCTTTTTCAGAGTCACTGCTTCCCAAGATAGAGTCCCCCATCCTGTAAGAATGGCCGACGTTCTTTGTTCTGAGATGGATACATTTAAATTTAGCCATATTAAACTGCTATATTTTTTGCTTGCACCCAGCTTACCAAGCAATCCAGATTGCTCTGCATTAGTGGCCTGTGCTTTTCATTATTTAGCACTCCCTCAATTTGTGTGGCATCTGCAAACTTTATCCATCATCATTGTGTGTTTTCTTCCAGGTCATTGATAAAAATGTTAAATAGCCAAGAACCGAACCCCACAGGACCCCCCCTAGAAACACACCTGCTCCATGATGATTCCCTATTTACAATTACAACCATTAGCCAGCTTTTAATCCATTTAACAGGTGCCATGTTAATTATATATTGTTCTAGATTTTTAGATCAAAATATCATGCAGTACCAAGTCAAACGCTTTATAGGAGTCTAAGTATACTACATCAACACTATTACCTTTATCAACTGAACTTGTGATCTCATAAAAAAAAAGAAATCAAGTTAGTCTGACAGCATCTATTTCCATAAACCCGTGTTTAGTGGTATTACAGTACTCTCTTTTCATTCTTTATTAATTGAGTCTCATATCAGACTCTCCATTATCTAGCCCAGGCTCAATGTCAGGCTAATAATTAAGGTTAAGATTTTATCAAGGTTATTTTTAGTAAAAGTCAGGGGCAGGTCACAGGCAGTGAACAAAAATTCACAGAAGCCTGTGACCTGTCCCTGACTTTTACTAAAAAGAGCAGTGATAAAATGGGCCTGAGGAGGTGAGGAGATCCCAAGCATGGCTGCAGGAGGGGAAGGGGGCGGGGTCCAGCTGAGAGCTGTGGGGGCCCCCCACCGCCTGCCATGGCCCAGAACGCCACAGCCCCCGCCAGTGAACAGCTCCAGCCCCGCTGCCATGGGGTGAAGCAAAAAAACGTCATGGATGTCTCTTGAACTCACGGAATCCATGACTTCTGGGACATAATCTTAGCCCTACTTATAATTACCTGGGCCATCCCATTTCCCCTTTTTAAATATTGGCACAATATTAGCTTTCTTCCAGTCTTCTGGGACTTCCCCAGCGTTCAAGACTTACAGAAAATCAACATTAACAGTCCAGCGAGCTCCTCCACCAAGTCTTTTAAAACTCTTGGTTGCATGTTTTCTAGACCTTCTGACTTAGAAGTGTCTAACTTTAGTAATTGCTGTTTAACATCCTCCTGAGATACTAGTGTAATGAAAAATGTGTTATCATAAGACTACATCATCTGTTTTCCCCCCAAACACAGAAGAGAAATATTTATGGAGCACTTTTGCCTTTTCTGCATTATTATTGCATAATTCTATTATTTCCATCTAGTAATGGGCCAATACCATTGTCAGGATTCTTTTTGTTCCTAATGTACTTAAAAAACTCCTTATTGTCCTTAACTCTGCTTGTCATAGATTTCTCCTTGTGTCCCCTTTGCTTCCTTTATTGATTTTCTACAATTCCTAGTTCCGATTTATATTCATCACTATCAACTTCCTTTATCTTCCATTTGTTATACTTAAAAATATATATTTTTATAGCTGCCTTCACTTTCTCTCTAAACCAGGTCTTTTCTTTAACCAATACAGCCTTCTTCCTCAATTGTGGCTTTTTGGGCATACAGTGAAGTGTTCTTATACAATTCTCAATGACCATTCAACATTTTTCAGATTAAATTCTTCCTCACAGCTAATTTGGCTCATAAACTGGTTTCAATTTTGTGAAACTGGCCCTTTTAAAGTACCAAGCATAAATATATATCACTGGTCTGGATTTTATTCTGGTTGCACGTTATGAATGTGATCAAGTCATGATCACTCGTACCTAAGCTAGCATTAATTTTTCGTTCAGCGATCAGTTCCTCTCCATCTGTCAAGACAAGGTCTAATATAGAATTCCCTTGCGTTAGTTTCAACAATTTTTGAGTTAGGACATTGTCACCTACAATATTTAGAAATTCCAAGGATGTTTTAGAACTGCCAGCATGAACCCTCCAGCATCTGTCACTCAAGTTGAAGTTCCCCGATGATCACACAGCTTTTCCTTTCCTATACATTATAGATAGGTGCATAAGGAGCTGGTCTTCCTGTTCCCTAGTGTGATTCAGTCTGTAGCATACACCAACTAATGCCCCATCTTGTGCTTTACCTGTTAGGACACCGATCCACAAGCATTCCAGATCATTTTCTTCTGAGTTATCAGTGATTGAAAACAGGTAATGCCATTTTTGACATATTTTCCAATCACTCAGCATATAGCAGGGCCTTGCCTTCTGTTTCCTGCCTTCACATGACTGCATTCTGCTCTCCTCTGTCTGGTTTTGGCTGACAGGTTTCTTTCTCTGATTGATTATTCCCATTTGGGGGCTGTTATTCCACAGATGATAAGGTGAAATCCCATACAATTCCACTCCACTGACACTCCTGAAGAGACAGCTCCACCCTGCTCCTCCCAGTTAGTAACTCAACACTAGCTTTCTGAAAACGGGACTACATGTGGCTGCCAAAAGGCTCAATCTACGATTAATCCACAGATTCTCCATCAAAGCTCCCAATGGCTACCTGAACGGAGAGGAAGGTGGTCCCGTGGTTACTGATCTAGCCCACAAATTGGTTTGGTTCAAATCCCAGAAACGCCACAGACTTCCTGCGTGATCCTGGGCAAGTCGCTTGTCCCCATTTTACAGCTGGGGAACTGAGGCACAGAGAGGATAACAGCACTTCCCTACCTCTCAGGGTTGTTGTGAGGATAAAGGTGTTAAAGACTGTGAGGTGCTCAGATACCATGGTAATAAGAACCTAAGGTAAAAAGCCTTCAACCTTTATTCATCTTTGATACTCCATTTGCTGAACAGCCGTGGTTGGGAGTGCAAGTGGGCCACTCCAGAGCTGTGTGCTCAGCACTCTGCACTTCTCCAGAAAGACCCAGATTTGATTCCCAGGTACGATCTCTCATTCCAAGAGCTGGCAGAGGCTAGAATTACTTTGGGGGGAGCCTGCTCGGCCCCTGCCCCTGGTGTTATCGAGGGCTTTGCACTGCTCTACAAGTACTGCACGACACAGAAGTAGCCTCGAGGGGCTCTGGATGGACTCCTGAGCAGCTTTCCCAGTCCCTGGGAAGCAGTAAGGGGGAGGCAAGAGGAGCACCCCAAAGAGAAGATCCCCTCTACTGCAGGGTTTTCTGCATTCCAGCCTCAGGCAGAGCCAGAAATGCTGAGCAGTGCTTTCACCATTCCCCACTGGCTAGTCAGCCCAATGAAGCTGTGCCCAGATTCCAGCGAGGGCAGAACATGCCAGAGCTGTTTCCTCATGGGAAGGGGACGATTGGCACACGCTACATTAGGAATGGTCTGTACTAGCAGCTGGATAAATACTATGATCACTCCAGAGACAAAATCTTCCAATATAAGCGGTTACATGGTCTTGGCCTGATAGCTTCAGTGACCTCCTTACAGTCACGTCTGTATGTAAGAGCTCTGCCAAGGAAAATATTTGGGATGCTCCCAAGTTTATGCATAAATCTTTCAGGCCTTCTCTACGAGAGAATTAAATTGGGCAGCACTGGTGTAAAGCTATGGATACTAGGAGGGCTTTATCAGCATAGGGGATACCAGTATGCTATACCAGCAAAGGACTCCTGGCACAGAAGCAGCTAGACCGGCAAAGCCGTGCTTTGTCCCACAAGCAAAACAAGCTGTGCCGGTAAAAGCAGGCTTGCCAGTAAAACTACATCTCCACTGGGCTTCTGCTTGCACAGCGATGTCGGTCAGGAATCACACCTCTGCACAGCTTTGACGGCAGCAGTCTGTAGCGCAGGTCTGGCCTGAGTGCCAATGGCATGGCATGCCCAGACTAGCTATGATGTTTCAAGTGCATCTCTGCACTGTTCAGTGTTGGTGCAGTTGTACTGGCCACTGAGCACCTTTATTCCAGAGTTCCTAACACAGCTTCCTGAAGCAACGGCTCCTGGGAGATTCTGAAAGGCCAACTGGGAGCCCAGGAGAACGGTGGGAGAAGAGGTCAGACTCCCATAATACCATGAGAAATTAGCATAATTTCCCTTTACGGAACTCCCGGCAATTCCCTGGTGCCAGCATCGTTTCTTAGTTATTTACCCAAAAGGGAAGCCAGGATGAATGATGGGTTTCTGATCTATCACTTACCAATCTGCCTATTGCCTACAGTGTATTTTCAATCCTAGGCCCAGTCAGCCTCATTAGCAGAGCATGCTGAAGAAACACAGGACAGATGTGGGTTGGCAGCCATGTTGAAATGCCTCAATCTAGGCTGATGGAGAGCAGGCGCAATGTGGAGATGATGGAGTCTTTGGAGGAGGAGGAGGATGCAGGATGCTGCCTACTAGCTAACCCTTGGATGAACAAATTGACCCTGGGCATTTAGTGACGTTTACCAGAGAGGCTGGTCCTTCTACTTTTCTGATTTCAGAGCATCGGCTACAAGACTCCTCACTGGATCCTTCTTTAGTGGTTGGAGAGGCCCCTCCCCTTCTCAAAGACAAAGCCTCTTTTCACATCTCTAACCACCAAACCAATATGGAAGCAGGTTTGCAGCTCCCCACAGAAAGCTCCCCCCATTCTCCTGCAGTCACCAGCATCACCTTGCTGCACGTTTGCTCTTGCCAAGGAGAGTTTCACATAAAGCTTTCACTCAGACTTTTAAAAGTGAGTTTAAAGCCCCTGAGAAAGGAACGAGCGGATGGCTCGAGGGACACCAGTCCTTCTCGGACCAGAAGCAGCACACCCAGCAGCGCAAGCTTCCCCGTACTGCCCTGCCAGGGTACCAGAAGTCGAACCTGAAAGGTCCTTTACTGGTGAACTGGTATTTCAGTCTATCAGCTCATTAATTGGTGATCTCTTTAATAAGGCTGCCAACATGGGTGCTGGTTAGTAGGAGCTGGGAGGGTGGGCTTTGCTACAGAGGTACTTGGGACATTAGAAATCAGACTGAGACAACCAATTTAATTCACACAGCCATCAGATGGGACTAACTTGCAATGACTATCGACCTGAGCTGCATTCAAACTGCTGACCTAACTCAGTCAGGCTTTGTACCCTATTACCAATCCCCTGAGCCATGCAATCCACACTTTACTTAGCTGTGAATAGATTTCGGTTACGGTGAGGTGAGAAGTGCTTTTCCTCTCCCAAGCTCTCGCACTGCTCTGCCCATCAAGATGGGGACACATTTTCTTATAGCTCTTTAGAGTAGCAAACGCTGGCTTTTGTTTTGCCAGGGAATGCCTTGAACATCCTACCTTGTTGTCAAGGTCAAAGAGGTAGGAGTCCTCTTCACGTACGTCTGCCTCTGAATCCGAAATCAGCTCTCCGACGTACCTGACGGATGAATGGGAAATGCAGCAATGAGATGCTTGTGCAGATGCTAGCTTGGATTTTAACACCTTGCCTCTCGTGTACAAAGTAAAGAGTGAAAGTGACAAATCAGCTAGTGTCAATCAGCATAGGTCCATCAAAGCCAGTGGAGGGATGCTGATTGACACTAGCTGAGAATTTGACCTCACATCTTTAAAATAAAAAACAAAATTCCTTTACTCAAGTTACTGCTAATACTTTTGAACATTAAATGTGAATTTTAAAAAAGGATATACTTTTCCCCATCCAAGCTGTTTCCTTTTGCAGTTCTCTCAGCTGTCCAGTAACAACAGACTAGTTAGTTTTGCTTTTGTTTAGTGTCCACTGACTTTCTGGTTCTCATGTCCAATATTGCAACACTTGGGTTGCACACACTGTAAGAGGATGTTTACATACCAATGCAAAACTGTTTGCTTTGGAATGTGCAAAAAAAAATGGAAATATTGTTGATCATAGAAGCTACTTATTTAAAGCCTTGTCTTACCATCCCCTAGAAGTCGACAGTATGTTAACCTGATAATGTCCCTTTAAGTAATTGGGCCTCCTACCACATGCAAATCAGGAGTATGACTTTATCTGAGTCCTAACACTCGTAACAGCACTTTCAGCTTCCACGCACTTTCCCAACATTAACTATGTGCATCTACCCTTGTGATGTTAGCATCTGACCCGAGGGCCGTGGAGATGAAAGCTTGAAACATTAACCCTGAGAACAGCCAGACATTCCATAATAGAAAGGGCGTTCAGATGCAGTTCCTGACCTCGAGCAGTCTAGCACAGAATTGCTATATCAGGCTAGGATGCCGACTGCATGTGGAATCCTATCATCTTGCCTTCAGTGCATCTTGGTATCTATTAACCACTCCTGTGTGGCTGCAGCATTACTGGAAACCACAAAATCATTAGTAACCTAGAGCAATAGGGGATTATGGATGGAGCAAAACTGCTTTAGTGTCACACAGTAGCCAAAACCGAAGGCAGCTCAAAAGCAGCTGAAAAATGGCACATGGAAAAGCATTTTATTTTGTGACACTCCTTTTGATAAGCAATTCTGAGACCAAAAACGGAAGTTGAGATGTAGCTTTTATGTTCCTTTAGGGCCCAATTCTGCAACCCCTCTTCGCTTTCAGCAGTACTTACTCATGCAAATAGTCCGACTGATTTCCCAGATCAGAAGTCAGTGGAAAGACTCGCATGAGTTAACTCTGTTATTCAGTAGCACTTACCTATCTATCTATATCTTAAGGGCTTATATGGTGTCAGTCACTTAGGTATCTGAGCACATTCCATATAAAAATCAATAGCAAAGTCAAGACCTGATGGAGTCTCTGGCTCTTCTCCCTTTTTGGGGTAAAAATTCTGCTTGGCACAGGTTGTTTCTATGGAGGGATGGGGGTCAAATCACAAAACATACGAGGTATGGAAATGGAATCACCAGCCCCTTTAGCTCTGTCCCTGTGTCCCACCAACCTGAACAACCTCTCTAAAAGCTATTATAACCACATGCGAACATTCTGAAATTAACAGAGACATTACTGGCAAGGAAACAATATGCTGTAGATTCAAATCAATTCTCCCTGGAGAGCTAGTTGCACGTGGAGCTGGTAACATGAGCACCTGTTTCAGAGAAGGAGTGATTCTGGTATTGTGGAGCCATCTTTGAAGAGTGGGCATGGGTTAACTGACTGTATGTATGTGGAGGGGCCTATGACCTACATTTCACTAGGCAGAATATAGTTCCAAGGACCAACATATAACGTGGACATGGCAGCAGGGACCGGAGGTTTCTGTAGTGGAGATGTATGTAGCAACCGTTCTCAGCCTGTGGTCTATGGTGCAATTGCTGGTAACTGGGGAAGAGCTGGCTTGTCCAGCTCTTCTTGTTTCCAGCTGCCAAACTGCATTTGAAGACAGCTAAATGCTTCCCATGCGAGCCATTGCTGTGTTTTGCCAGGGGGATGTTTTGCAATCAAGGTAGCTTGAGTGATCGTGAACGGGAGGTGGAAGACCATCAGTTAAAATCTGGTCCAGACTATTGAGGAGAAGGGATCTGTGAATTCTAGGTGTATAAGAAGGGCATTTTGCACAGCAAGGACTTGTCTGCATGGGGAACAGACTGAAATAGCTATCGAAGACTAACCGATTCCACAACAGCTATTCCAGATGAGAGAGCTCCCTGTGTGTCCACTCTATTCTGGAATAAAAGTAATTTCTATTCCAGAAAAATTACTCTGCTCTGAAAGCACACTAACTATGCTGGAATAGTGATTTTTACCCTGGAACAGAATGTCCGCAAGGAGAGCTATTCTGAAGTAGCTATTGTGGAATAGGTTATTCTGCAACAGCTACTCCAGTCAATTTCCCCCTGTAGACAAACCTTAAGGTGTGTGAACACTGGGGTTTCTTTCCTTATGGGAACAAGGTGAGGGAGGCGCAATTCCATGCACTGCATATAGACAGATAAAGGTAATAAGCTTAGTGTGGTTGGCTCACCAAAGGAGGGTGAGCTGAAGACTGACCTATGGTTATATTGGTGGCACGTAGTGCAGGCATGTTACGTATTCATTCAGAGTTGGTTAGTATGTGGTTCTTTTTTGTAATGGAAAAGAGTTACAGTGTGACAGGTGAAAGGGTGCCATGAGTCATGGATAGGGATAAGATGACCTAAAGTGGCTTGTGGTATCTTCACTCAACTCTGCAGTCCCAGAAATGTTACATGTGTGATCATTTTTATTACACCTTTACCTTAATTTTAAATTTCCTGGCATTCATGCCTTCTCCTGTTTAAAATTACACTTCTCTAATCAGCTATTCCTCAAATAACTTGTGCATTTACTCTAGTGTAGTGAGGCAGAGTGGCTTCCCTCCAGTGCAGAGGGATTAATTTCCCTTGGGTGGTACAGCTAATCCCCTCACAGCCCCCTCGCAGGAAGTGCAGGGGCGGGTTAGGAAGTATAAAAGTAGGGCCCTGAGCTCAATTGTGCCAGACCATGGAAGGAGGCAGACGTCCCAAGCAGAGAGCCGAGCCCTCAGCAAGGTCCAGGACCAATCAACACACTGCCCGGAAGACCCCGGGGAGAGACCAGAGGGAGGGTCGCCCAACCGCAAACCAGAGCCCAGCAGTGATGGAGCGGCACCAGCAGAAACTGGTAGGAAGTAGCCCAGGAAAACAAGACTTTGGTCTGGTTGTGCTTCCGGGATGCGAGGTAGCAACCCCGTTTCCCTGCTGACCCTGTAGTGGGATCACCTGCCACTGTCAGGGCTCTGGGCTGGGACGCAGTGGAGCAAGCTGTGCCTGGGTCCCCCATCCCACCTTATACTCTGCAAATGGCCAAATACAAAACTTTAGGCCAAGACACCTGAGCCAGTGACTGTTGGTCGCTCAGCCCACACCCCCAAAGGGGCCTGACCCCAAGACTATGCGGTTGTTGCCTGCCCCAGCCAGGAGGCTGCGGGCTATAGACAGCTTGCTTGTCCTGCCCGAAGGGCCAGAGCCCCAGACTGTGGTTGCCTGCACCAGCCAGGAGGCTGCGGGTCAAAGACTGTGTAGTTGCTCAGCCCAGATGCAGAAGGCCTAAGCCCTAGACTTTGGCTATTTGCCCCAGCCAGGAGGATGAGGCCAGAGACTGTTTCATTGCTCAGCCGCCAGACCATGAGATGCCGGCATCATAGACTAGTAGTGTGCACCCCAAACAGAGACTGGGGATCCCTGCCGACTGGCTGTGTGCAGCCAGAAGTCAGGACACCCTGATGAACTTTTGGCCCATCTACCGACACCCTGATGCCGCCTGGAGGGAGCACCCTGACCGTGACAGGAAGGAACCCTATATTTGTGAAGAGTTGATGCTTTCCCCTCCTTCTTACTGGAACCAGTTGATCTCCTGGCACAAGTTTAGCTCTGGACTTTGAATGTTCCATCTGGGCAGAAAGCCCTGTTCTCCAGCCCAGATGGAAGATGGATCTCAGGAACAACCCAGGCAGGGTTTGGCTTTGGGCCTGAAACATGAAAACACCCTCAAGGCCATTATAGCTTCTAATGAGCTTTTGCAGCAATGCAGGTGCAGGACAACTTTACCAAACTACTGCTGGATTTATTTATTTACATTTCTGCTACTATTCAGACTTTGCAGGCTCAGATTTCTCAGAGGTAATACCTTTAAAATTAATTCCCTGCCCCATCCCAAAATACCGTGAGGCATCCATGACATACTGTTAAGAAACAGAGATCCTCCTTTCATGGGAAGAACAGGAGTCTGGCCTTGCTCAGAACAAAGCTGAATGGGTCATTTTCCAAAAATCACTACGAAGAATCACCACCACGCTAAAGCCTAATAAATCACTGGTTCAAACAGGAATGTATTTTTGGTAACCATACATAAATTATAGCAATCATTTTCTTTCTTAGGCCCTGATTCAGCCAAGCACGTCACGTGTTTAACTTTAAACATCCACTTAAGTGCCCTGGGGAGTCAGGGTCCAAACCAGAACTTCGGTACTGGGGAAAACCCTTAATTGTATCACACTGACTAGAGACTGGCCTACCCCAAAGCACGGGCTCCAGAGATATCGATGCACCTCAGACCCCTGAGACTTTGGGATGTTCCAGACGTGAATTTTGCAGTTTGAGCCCATCTCCAATACAAATTAAATGGATTACTTCTACCACCGCCTTGCATTTCCCATATCACTGCTCGTTTGGGCCACACAATCAAAGCTTTCAGAGCTTAAACCAACGTCTCTCATGCATATCTATCAATACAGCAGTCACTGTGACAAAGGCAAAAGCCCCGATTCAGGAAAGCCTTCCTGTTCTGGACAGCACTTAAGCACATGTTTAAATCTCACTGCTGTCAAATGGATTTAAGCACATGCTTGTGTGCTTTGATGAATGAGGGCCATAATGTGGAATTTATGAGACTACTCTCATTCCAAGGTGACGCATGGAGGGTCACTAAGACAGGGTGGCTTATTGAACCGTAAACTCCAGCAGCATGGGGGAAAGCTTGAAGATACGTTCTAACTGCTTACGGAATGTCCACTTCGGGGATGGATCACTTGATGATTACCTGTTCTGTCCATTCCCTCTGAAGCACCTGCATTGGCCACTGTCGGAAGACAGGATACTGGGCTAGATGGACCTTTGGTCTGACCCAGTATGGCCGTTCTTATATACTTAGGCTAGATGGCTCTGTATGAAGCAATTTCTTTCTGCATGCACCTCTCCCTTCAATAAGGAGCATTCTAATTTGGGTGCATGACACCAATTGCCCAACACACCATCCGAATTCATGAGCTGATGCTTTCTTTGTGAGCTACTCTAAGCCGACGAACTTACTCGCACACGAACGTTCCCAAGGGGATGTCCTGCATCGACCGCACGCCCCAGCCCATCTTTTGCGTTCGATAAAGCTGCAATCGAACCCTGAAAGACAAGAAAAGGGGTCCCATTAATGGCATCAGAGGAGGCGCTCTGCAGAAAGGCATCCGCTCTTTGGGGAGGGGAGCATCACAAAGAAATTGCAAATTTAATCAGAAAACATTAATTGCAAGAGACAATTTCTAATTTTGTCACCATGTGACCCCAGTTCCTTGCACCCCAGGATCTGCTCCCTCTGTTAATGTGAGAGGAAGAAAGGAAAACCAGCTGCAAACTGGCTGGTGGCACAGCAAGAGGGGGAAGCAGCGACTATGTGGCAGCTCTCCTTTATCCTCATCCTGCAGAACCCCCTTTATCACACTCCATGGGGAGTGGGCTTGGTGCCTGGGGATGGGGGGCACTATGGGACTCGGTGCTCTCCACAGTACTATCCCCCCTTAAACCTCTGGGGATTTACACATGGGATATAAACGTCAGCTACCAGCTTCTCTTCCCTCCTGCACGTTCCCCATCCGCACAATGGAAGAGAAGTTTCAGGAGAAGTCGGCCGGAGCCCATGGTAGCGTGACTGTGGGAAGTGTGCTGCAAAGGAGGGGATGGAGCTGGAGCAGTACCAAGAACGCCCTGGATCACTACACAGATATTCCTTCCCTCTGCAGAGAGCTGGAAATTTGGCAGGTCCCACTCATTCCTACCTAAGCCACTAGCTGAAAGCTAGGAAGTAAATTCTGTAACTTGAAACTTGCTGGGTTTCCTGGCCCCTATATACAGCCTATACAACTAGACTCAGAAAAGACCCGTTAGGTCCCAACTGCATAGGCAACTGCATTGCCCAGCCACTGCTGGAATATTTCATAGGACCATCTTATACTTAACATTCTCCAGGAATGCTGATCCCCTGCGGGAGCCTAAGGCCACTTGCACAGACTCCATTATTGGGGGGGAAAATCCTGATGCTCCCCTATTTTTTCCTTTTCTTAAATTCACCCCATTGCTTCTTTTGATATCCCCTTTACATCGCATTATATTAAATAATCCCTCTCCCTCCATGGCACTTCATACCCTTGGCAGACAGTACCAGGAGCACAACGCAAGGCAGATAGGCTTTCCTTGGCACTAGCAGCTTCAAAAAATGTGGTCACACCGTGCCTCAGGCCTGAGGAAGCTGCATTCTGTTTTGCCTCATTCATCACCAGTAAAACAGGCAGCTGAGTTTTGGATTCCGGACGCTGGGATGATGCAGGAAGCGCAGGGAATATCGCTTGCTTTTCAGACACCAGGCAGAGCTGGTAGGCCTGCCAGAGGGAAACATGCGCTCTGACATGTAACATTAATTTGGAGCAAATTTGATAAGGGAAACACTGAGAATGAAGAGGGAGCACCCAGGCATCATTACTAAGCAGCCTCTTTGCAGATCAAAAGCTAGGAGTTATCCCTGATTCCTCAAGGGACGAGGCCCACAGAGTTCTGGGAAATATCTGACCCTATCACAGGCTCCTCAGGGTCTTATCACTCAACTTCAGCATCAGCTTACAGAGCCACCCTGCCTCCCTTAGCAAGACTTTAACAAACAGGGCACAATAGTGACAAACCTATTTGCACAACTCCTAAACGAACAAACACGTTGTGCCGACCAGGAAAAAAACGAGAAAGCGCGGCCAAGAATTTCGTCAGGAAAGTCTCCTGAGTGGTTTTTTTTTCTTTAATAAATTTCAAATTTTCATCAAAATTTCAAAGTTAAAACACCCGCAATCAGTTCCTTACAAAATAAAACCAAACCAAATCACCGACAACATCAGTTTAACCTAGAGTCAGTTCTCTATAACATCCCTTCCCCCGTTTTAAAGGAGACCGCCAACGTTACCAAATGGAGTCCGTAAAGTTAAAGGCTTACTTCCATACTTCAGCAACACAATACAAATAGTGTGATTGACAGCACTGAAGTCAATGGGTGCTGAGCATCTCTGGAAACAAATAGATCAGACCAGTTACACAGGAACTTTAGGAACCCAGGTCTGTAAGCTTTGGCCTACACTTCTGATATAAACAGCTAACCTATAATTTTGATATAAATGGCTATGTTTCTTTCCTTATTATTATTCTATTTTCCCCAAAGACCTTACCCTGAAAGCTGCATCTGAACTGCCAGTGAAGCGACCACTTACTTAAAAAAAAAATAAAAAAAAACCAACAACAGAAGCAACTAATAAATTGTACGTTTGGGTTGACTAAAGAACACAGAGGGTCCAAGTGTCTAGGCCAGTGTCAAGGTGGTATTCCCAGTTGATCTCACAACCCTGCTGTTGTTTCATGCTCACTAGCAGGAACCAGAGGCTTGGCTCTGGTTTACCTCTTTCGATGATGATATAGCTGCCCCATTTCTCCCTCATCTTTGGGAATCTTTCCTTTTACAGACAGACTAGAGTAGATAGGCAGGGAGCTTTATTCCTTTTAAAATAATGATCCAAATCAGGAGCCTTCTCTCTCACCTGAGCCCATTCTGCACTACCCGATTCCGGCAGTTTCGCCAACATGAGCAAGCGTGGTTACACTCAAAGATCAGAGGTGGCTCAGACATGTTGAATTCAGGCAGGAGTCGGCCATCCTGGAGAAGAGACATGAGATCAGGACTGGATTAATTGTGTATTCCTGTATTCTTTTGCAACTGGAAATAAAGCTGGAAAGCTCCAATCCAGAGCTGAATTTCCCCAAAGTTTAAACCAATCTAGAGCTCATACACTGGTTCCCATCCATCTTCTGGAGTTGACTCAGATGACAACATAGATCCCTATCCAAACTTCCCCAAAGTCTGAGGGAGCTCTGCACCATTATCAGAAACAGAGGACAGGCAATAAACAAAAAACAGTACTTTGCATGCAGTGCTATTCAGCTGGAGATCTCAAAGTGCTTTACAGAAGTGTGCATGCATCTTTAGCCACATTTTGCAACTGGGGAAGAGAGAGTTTGTGGTACAGCCTGGACTAGAACCCAGGTCTCCGGACTCTGAGGCCAGCACTCGTGTCACTGGACCCCCTTTCTTCCCATAAGAAGCCCCTCTAAGTACCCTCCAGTTACATGGAGATGAGACGGTGGCAGATAGTGCACCACATTTAAGAAATTTGGAAATAAATGCTCAAAGGATACAAGCAGTGAAGTCACCTCGGATTGTGAAGCCTGTTAAAGCTCAATTAAAATGGACACCTGGCAAAAGCCAGGAGATACCAAAATTCCCAAGGGAGAAGCCTGCAGAGATTCAGGGAACGTGTGATCTTAGTGGAACCTGCCCAAGGATTAACCTCCAAGCCTCCCTGGAGGATTTAAGCATATATACACAAAACACTAGAGAAGCCACCTAACAACCCTGTAATTAAACTGCCTCCACTCAGCCTTCACAGGAGGTGGATCACAGAAAATAAAGGAAAAATAAAACATCCCTAGTCCCTTCCCCTCATTTATAAATTACAGAAACACTTAAAAGACCAAACAGCTCACACTATAGTCTTCCATGGGGCTTGCATCCTGGGCACGGATTGTAAAACACTGTGTATCACGTGGGTATAATTAATGGCTCCACTGGTATAGAAGTAACGCAAGTTTCAGATTTATTGCGTCTCTTGCCATGTACACACTGAAGCCAAGATTAGTCTTCAGTATTTTATATACTGGAATTTAGAAAATTTTAAGAAGTTTTTAAAATGAACGGTTATAATACGTGAATATCAGCCAAGCCAAACATGAAGTTCCAAGTCCTCACCTTGTCATACCAGCAGCGCATACTGAGTTGGCCACACATGCAGTTGCTGGAGGAGCAGTCATCGATGCACACACAGTACTGGAAGGGAGAAACAAGAGCAGATCCAATTCTCACACAGGTGCAACAGAAAGACCAAATTGGTTAAATGGGCTGTAAAGGAAACCGCTATCAACTTCACTATTGATATACCCCATCCTTTCCCAAAACACCAAGTATATGGGGGCCTCCCAAGTATTTAAAAAATAGGCACAATTCCCTCCCTCCCTCTCTCATCAGACAATAGCACAATCAGCTTCACTGGTTTCACAGGACTTTTTGTTTGCTCATTTTTGTGGGTGACATTACTGAGGGGAAGCTAGATCACAGAAAGGAATTTTGCAGTTAGTTCTGACAGGGGGTGATCCTGTGTCCATTTTTCTCTCGTGCAGGAGTGAATTCCAGTGTAGCTCCAGTTCCTGTGAAAGTTCTCTCTCCGGTGCTCATGACCCAACCCACCAGCTGGCAGGGTCACTGTTCCAGTGGAAAGCAGCTGTCATGGGGAGTCAGGGTCACAGAGGGCACGGTGATTTCTCAAGTAGGTAGGGCCAGTCAATTGGAGGGCTCTGAATATCAGAGACACAAGCCTTGAACTGGATGCGAGTTCACTGGGGAGACAGTATAGCGAGTGGAGCACTGGGGCAATGTGTTCCTGGCAGCTTGTACTGCTAAGTAGACGGGCTGCTGAATTCTGTACCAATTGGAGGTTTTTCAGAGCATGTGGCTTCATCCCTGGATACAATGAGTTGCAAGAATCAAGCCTGGGAAGCCATGAATGCCTGACTGTCTCTCTCGGATATTCTACAGGGCTCATAACTATGGCACCAGAACACACAGCCTTCATGGATATTACATAGAACAACACAATCAATAGCATGGATTATTACTATTGCAAAATATTACTTTGCTCATCTACAGTTGCTGTCATCGGAGGATCTACAAACATTGACTAATTAAAGCCTCACTACACCTCAGAGGAGTGTAAGGGCTATATCAGAACCACGAAATGCAGCTATCTCCAGGGTGGGATGTCATGTGCAGTTAGCAGCAGTTTAAGAAAGGAAGGGATGAAGAATCCTACATTCAAGAGAAACAGCTGGGGGAATTCAGGGAGGCAGAGTCCAAATGCCTAAGCTGGAATTTTGCCAGCACACTGGGGTTAAACACCCCAGTTCTTACTGAAAATGCCATAGGGTTTTCAATTCTGACAAAATGGAAAGGATCGTGGGTTTTCTCTCTCATCTTAAAACTCACACATACATCATCACAGCGCCTCTGAGGCTTGACTTTAAAATTTCCATGGAACAAAATGTTTTCTCAGTTCCAAGGAGCAGTGGGAGGAATTTCCGTTCTTCTATTGCAAAAAGATCTATACCAACAAGGTGGAGGAGGCAAGTGTGTAACTGGAATACAAGCACACAATCAAGCTGCTCAACCACGCTTGCTCTTATCACTGCGTCGCCCTAGAGAGACGGACGGACACACGCACAAACACCTCTTCCTATAGGAACACATCTCTGCAGTGCACACTCCAGCTGGCTCTCTGATCAGCACACAGCAACCTCTCTAACAATATTCCATACCACGACAGGAGAGGCCCACCCAGCCACCCACCCACCCACGTATGTACCTGGCCCATCTAACCTGCAAATGTGTGATGTTTCTATCAATGTTCATTGGGGAGGTCACACAGTTCTGAGAAACGTATTTGTAGTTGGTGGGGCAAGACTCGCTGTCCACTGAATTGATGCATGGAATTGGGATCCTCTCGTAACCCCGGGCAATGTCTCTGTCACAGCAGGGGAAAGATAGGGAAGAAAACAATTGCTTTATGCAACAAATATACCATCCTCCACTCCCCAAAACAATCTGGTAATTACAAAATCAACAAGTGCAGCTTGAGCGGCATCCCGAGCAGAATTTGATCTCTGAATATTTAAGGTTGAAAGGAACTCGGTTTCATTCTGAATCCGTTTTTCCAACTGGACGTATAAATTATTACTTCCTGTTGGATCATTCCATATGGATGATACATTCATAAATACCAGCCCTGATTCAGCACAAGCTTAAAAGCTAAGTGCCTTTCCAAATCAGGGCCTCATCCTCAACCTAGAGAGCTTGCACTTGACAGTCACTACAGAGGCTAGCTGGACTCTCACCTGCTCACCGTCTTCTCTATCTGGGCAGGTTTGTCAGTAGATGATTCTCGGATTGTCTTGTTCATCTGCAGAGCCACCCAGACCTGAGAGTTGAGACTCGAGCACTGGAGTGGAGTCTCACCTTCCTTGTTCTTCAAGCTGACATCCGAGCCATGGGAGAGAAAGAGGCTGCAAAACAGCAACAACAATAGATAACCCACCCAGAAAGAACTTACCAGAGGCGGAAGAGTCAAATGGCATTCTGCAGCCACTGCTTAAGGTCGCATTAGTAGGACCACTCTCTCGAGAATGATGAATCAAAACAGGTTCCACCAGTATAGAAAGCAACCACCTCGATTCCCTTTTTACAAAGCTGGTTCATTGAACAACACTTTCTAAAGGTGGGGGTTAATTTGGAAGCTGGGTAGAGCAACAGATTGGCACATCAGCAGGCCAATTCTAGAGTGCTGGGTCCAAATCCCGCCTTACATCAGGCACAAAAAGGAGTTTGCTCATAACCAGCCTAGTTACAAATGGACACGAAACGAGGGGCCTCGGCACCACTGAAGTCCAATTGAAGCCATATTTTGAGGACATAAATGGAACTTTAAAAAGGGGCAGAGGCCTTGAGCTAGTTCTTTGTACAGGGGTGAATTTCACCCTCTAGACGGAGCTCTCGCTCACTAACTGGGATTGCTGCATGCATTGTAACACAGGGAAAGCATTCAGGACCTCCAACTGACTGCTCTGCAAATGGAGTGGCCCTGCATCCCATGTCCCTATAAGTGGTGCTAGGAACCGTCACAAGCTCCACTCGTATGCTTACAAAAACTCAGCCTGCTTCTCCACTGCCTTGTGCTTCGCGTAGTCATTTACAGCCGTGCATGTGCTACTGAATCAGGTCACTAGGGCCCGGTTCTCATTTACTCAAAGGCCCCTTTACACCACTCTGGCAGTGAAAAGGAGCCTTACAGTGGATGCAATTTTAATTTGTGTCATTTACGGCCCCTTTCCACTGCCAGAGTGGTGCAAAGGGGTCTTGGTGTTAATGAGGATCAGCCCCATGTATTTCTCCCCCACTTTGCTCGGGTGCAAAGCAATGTAGAATCAGGCTCTTCATCCTATTTTGTTTCGTGTTCAAAGGCAAAGGTATTTCATAGCACTCCTTCACTTGCAAGCCAGTGTCCAAATGAGAAGTGAATAAAGTAACAAAGGAAAGCAGGGGTGGCAGGAGCCGTACTTACACAACACACTCATAGCGGTTCTCTCTGGCTGCGATGTGCAGTGGCGAGTCTCCATGAATATTTACTGCATGTAAATCGCACTTAGCAGCCAGCAATATCTCCGCTATGTCAACACAGCCAGAAAAAGCTGCCCAGTGCAAACAAATATTCTCCTCCTGGAGGGGAAAACACAGGAGAGGCTGTTTAGTGCACTAAGATCCCACCACTTTGGGACTCCACTGTCTTTAGCTCTGTAGCTATGGCATTTAACACATGGCCGGCCTTCTCCTTTATTGGATTCTCTCTCACTCAGAGAACACAACCCTGCAACAGGCAGGCAGGGAGTTCTCAGCACAGCCGCCTCCACGCTCACTGGAGATGGCGAGGCTACAGCGAAACTCCTGCATTGCTCTCTTCGTCTGTACAGACGAGTCATTTGTCTCTAAACCACAGAACGATCTGGATCGATCCACAGGGAGATATGACAGAAGCAAACGAGCCCCAGGGAAGGGCTAGGAGCCGAACCATCCAAACCAGACCTGTAACAAAACTAGACCATCTCCTGACTCTACAATATCAAAGACAGCGAGCCCAGGGGGAACAAGCAGAGCACAAGCTGTAGGGTACAAAGGTCTGAAAAGCAAGACGCCAGGCACAGGGAGAGCAAACTGATTTCAGGCATCTCTTAAATGCACCATGTACCAGTCTCTCACTAGAGCACTAGAAAGAAGGGAACCAGAATCTTGCTGATTTAGATGTTTTAAGTGATGATCCTATTACTGTATAATTTGTAGTACACCTTGGAATCCTTCAGCATGACAAGCACAAGAAAGGCTGATTGTGACGACATAATGGTGATGATGATTGTAACGGGGTCTTTCACAGATGGCAAAAAAATGCATACATAAGTCTCTGCAACTTAATCTCTATTAAAGGGAAGATCTGAGTTACAAACAGATGCCTGAGGGCAGGTGGGGAACATTTTTGACATGGCTTCTGCTCCCCAGCAGCCAATCCCAAGTATCATTCTGAAGATTAATTTAATCCAGCGAGGATACCACTCCACATACTGCGAATCAGGCGACAGAGAGAACAGCGCAATTTACAGCTCCTACCATTCTTATTCACGCTGATTAAAATCAATGGGGCTATTCGAGGAGTAAGGTGCTACTCAGTGTGAGGAACGATGGCAGGAGCTGGCCCTTAATGACCTACAATGAGTAGATGCTGGAACTCTGGACAAATTAATGGGGATCTCATACATGTGTGATGGATGGCATGATTGGATTTGTTCTGTCAGATTAATGTGCGATCCAAGGGATTGGTAGCTGGCAGCTTTTGTGATGGATCAGACAAGAAACCGTTTTGTTCAGAACCAGTATTATGGCCATGGAGTCAACTGCAACAATCTGGAAAGCCCCCACCCACCTCTGACTCTTGCTCTTATTCTTTGTCAGAGCAGGACCTGCCTGGAAAGTACTCAGTTACCCAAGAAATAGAGGCTCCTAAAGGGGAAGGGCTTTTGGGCCAGGGAAGACAGCTACTAGTGAACAGTCTGAGCCATTCTGAGCGCAGTGAGTTACATGCACCTCTATCTATCCCTGACAGCATCTGGAAGACACAGAGAGAAGCACTGGGGGAGACCAAGAGGAATCAGCTTCTTACATCCACTGGACTCACAGGAGTTTCTCAGAGGCAGAGTGGAAAAATGGGAAAGATGTTGCAATCAATCAATCAATCAATAAAAGGAGCGGTGGCAGATCTGACCCATCTCCTAGATGGAGCACTGGACACTGCCTTCTCCCTCCTCCCCAATCATCCCCGCCCATGCTCCCTAATCACTGCCCCATGTTTTATCTTTCCCATCAGAGAACGTGGTTTCGGGTGACCGGCCCTCCCTCAGGCAAGCAGTCCCATCTGCAACTTCTCACATAAGGAAGTGTTTGCAGAATTAGGCTCTGAAGGCCTGATCCTCAGAGGTGCTTAGCACCTGCAGCTCCGATTACCTTCACTTGGAGCGAGAGCTGCTCAGCACTTCTGCAAGTCAAATCTCCAGAGTGGAAGATCTCTGGGGCACACAACCTGTGGTACTCTGTGTGGGCCCCACCCTGCGGACATGACTGGGCACAGACACGATGGACGTGATTTTTAAATACTGTCGTGGGAAATACTTGGGAGTTGAAGGTTAGCAGACTGTCCTGCAAGAACCTACCTAAACTGCAAGCAATGCGGCTGCTCACGCCGCAAATTCTCACCAGCTACTTCCTCCCATGTCAGACTGGCTATCAAACCCACTGCTCCCTACCGTGCTTTCCGAGGGGCTTGGCGTTTCTGGTTTGGGGAGCTCTTAAATAAAGATAGTCATTTATGTACTAAAAACCCCAACTCCGGTAAGTCTTACGTTGTCTCGAATATTAATGTCCGACCCCTTGGAGAGCAATAGCTTCACCAGCTCAACGTGCTTGTATTCGGTGGCCCAGATCATAGGCGTCCAGCCTCCGTCGTCCTGGGGAGGGGAGAGGAGAGCATGAGACACACACAGTGTGGACAAAGCAGCGCCTGCCTTGATTTCCACTGGATCCGTGGGCTGCAACCACGTCCGGCGGCACCTCTCAAAGGAAGCTACTGACCCACTTTGTCTCACGCCACCACATGAATTTAAATGGTTGTGGAGAAAACCCTGTTGTCATTCCCGCACAGCATAGTGTGGTTCAAACCCATCCGCACCACTCCTGCATCCAGGCGTCGCACCACAGACTGCAAATGGGTCTCTGGGGCTGGGGGAGAAAGGGCCCATCTGTGCAGGTAAGATTGTAGCATCAGAGCCCAAACCTTCATCTGAATTGGGTTGACTGCCAAGACCCCAGGGGAGCTGCCAGTCATTTATATAAGGCCCAATGAGCATCCCAGAATGGGCCTGGAAGAAGGTTAGGGGAAGGCAGCGTTGCCGCACTCCTTATGGCTGGATGTCCTATTGAAAATGGCTTAGCTGCCGGCTGCCCCCCACCCTTTCCAGGAGAGCTCAAACGGGTCCCAGCTCAGCTTCCTCTCTGGTCCCATTGCTGGGAGGTGGTGTTGTTGGATGTGCCTGCAGGGGCAGATTGAGGCTTTATTAATGGACCCTTGAGATAAAGGCCCCAGGATCAGCAGAGGCCTGGAGGAAGCAGGGAATCGAAAGCAGAGTTGCAGGCAGAACAGAGCACAGCTGACTGCTGGCAAATGAGCTGGGCTGCCCGATGTGTGTGGAAGGGAGGCAGAGAAGGAAGGTCTCTCTGTGGTGGCCCTGAAGGCTGGAAAGGGAGGATCGGATTATTCATGGATCATGGCCCCATTAGCTAAGCACGTTTGCTTCTCCAGACCGGCCCAGCAGTGTCTGAGTAACCATGTGGAGCGCTGCTGAGATTGCAGAGACAGACTGCGGTTCCTGAGCTGCGGAAAGCACCTCACAGAAGGGCCTTACCTGGCAGTTGACGTCCATCTGCCCGTTGGAGAGAAGGTACTGAACTACTTCGTAATGCCCTTTCTTGGCAGCCAAGTGCAGACACGTGGAGCCCTCAGCATCCTGAGCAACAGAATCATAGAACAACTCAAGGAAAATCATCTCCCACCCTCCCCAGTGTCGGACACTGTTGGTGTCACAACAGCCGCACTGGGGTATGTCAGAAAGAGATAGGCTAGTGGTCAGAGCACAGGCCTGGGAGAGCCCCCTGGCCCCTCCTGCTGTGGATGTCAGGAGAGAGGAATGGCAGCCACAGCCAGCCCTCCCACCCCCCCAGTAGGGTGTTAAACGAAGCCCTGACAAGCCAGCACTAGGGAGCACAGGTAGGGGCTGGGAGGAAGAGAAGGGCCTTGGATGAAAAGGCTCCCCTGAGAGCTTTGCAGAGATTGCAGAGCTGGCTATCTGCAGCTCCCCCCCTCCCTCTGCTGACGGTGGCTTTCTTCCCCCCACCCTCTCCCATAGAGCTGTCCCCTATTGCTCCCCCACTGGAGCCAGAGGGGCAGGAAGTGTGGGGGAGAATTCTCTCCATTACATAGGCAGAGCTTCAGCACAGGCTGCGAAAGCAGGGCATCCCCCCGGGAGAGACAATCTCAACCAGAAACTTAAGGCTTTGCCGACACTTGGGTTTTTGTATCCCCAGTTGCTAGCCCAATGCAGCTGCTCTGTACAAGCCACTTCTCCCACCAGTGCAGTATGTCCACACAGGGGGCTTGCCCCGGCACCTCTACACTGGAACCACACCACAGGGCCCCCCCCCCCCAGAGACAAGGCCTGAAAGATGGTCTGGAAACGCTGAGGAGAAACTCAGATAAAGTTTTGAAAGCAAAACCCCCTTTGGGGTCTTTTGAGTACAGGGTCTTCTATAGGATGGAAAGGCTGAAGGGCTGGGGTGTAAGTGATGGTGGGAGAGGAGAGGCCCACAGCATAAAATCAGAAACCAGATATGCTCTGGAGAACCCAAACTTTTACCTCACACAAACTTAATCCAGAGCAAGCCCCAAGGGGCTGAAAATGAATGAAAAACCAAAAGCAACCACCCCTCCCCCAATTTGAACCACATCATCCCTTCCACATTAAACCCACAAAAAGCAACACACTTCAACATAGGAGCACCTCTTTGGCCCACAAGAGTGAGGACACCCTCCCAAATAGGTATCCAATTCAGAGAGCACAGGTGCCTCACAGACAATGCCTGGAGGGGGAGCGATTTAATTGGATGGGGATGTTTAGCTGGATTGGATGTTGTGAAGGCCAAGACTATAACAGGGTTCAAAAAAGAACTAGATACATTCATGGAGGAGAGGTCCATCAAGGGCTATTAGCCAGGATGGGCAGGGATGGCATCCCTAGCCTCTGTTTGTCAGAAACTGGAAATGGGCGACAGGGGATGGATCACTTGAGGATTCCCTGTTCATTCCCTCTGGGACACCTGGCACTGACCACTGTCGGAAGACAGGATACTGGGCTAGATGGACCTTTGGTCTGACCCAGTATGGCCATTCTTATGGGGGAGGTGAGGTTTTAGACAGTTTACATTGTGAAACTCCTCAGGGCAAAGAGGATGTTTTTACTCTCTCTAAAGTGTCCCACAAGCCCCTATACACAAGTGTCCATGAGCACAGTGTTAATAATCATTGGTGCATCTTACTTCTGACAGGTTCCGCACATACAAAGAACAGGGATTGCACAAAGTTCACAGCAACCTTGACATAAGTGAAAAGCATGCTGGGAATCTGGTTCACAGTCAGCAGAGGCACAAAAGGCTTGTAGCTATGTATGACACTGGCTAACAGCGGCACCTTCCTGCTAAGATTAACAAGAGGTAACTGTAGTCTCTCAATACACCTGTGTGAGAGCAGGCACAGTTAATATTAAACTCCCACTGACTTCAATGGGACCAGGATGTCCCTCTGACAGGAACAGCAGCAGTTCGCAGGGGGACCCAGGAATGCCCTTGGTCATTAGTTGCCCCTTTCTTGCTTGACAATCCCTCTCTCTCAGCGAGGGGAGGGCAGAGAAGCAGCAGCTAGCATTTCTGTCTCTCTGCAAAAGAACCCCAGTTGATGTAGCAAGGCTGCTATTTTCAAACATGACTAATATTGTACAGGAAACTAATTAAGGCAATAAACTTCAGGAATTATTGAATTTCAATAACGATCCCAGGTTGTAACAGTTCTAATTTACTTTTGCTGGTTAGGATAAGGGCTTTTTTTTCCCCCTTTACCTTTATTAAAAAAATCTCTTTGCACTGTGCCATTATTAAAATCACACGACAGGCATTTGGCAATTGCTTGGGGATGCCCCTGGCTCCAGCTAGTTTGAACCTGCACGTGCCCCCACACGTTGGAGAAAGTTGCCAGGGAAATTGTCAAAGGCACAACGACAGACTGCATTTGGCCTCTTGTAGCCTGCAAGCAGGATAATCCCACAGACACAGGCCAGCTCCTCAGTGGGCAAAGCATCATCACCATACTGCTCCGTTCCTTAGCAATATCCCAGGCAGCGAGCTGAAGTGAGCAGGTGGTAACTATACGAAGTTTGTGGCAAGCAGGGCTCCTGCCCTCCAAATGGCATCTGATTTACGACACTAATAATCCATCCATGTGTTTTACAAGAGGGTTGAAACAAGCAGAGCATGTTACGGGCAACTAGCCAGCCATGCTTTTATTGTATTTGTTTAAATTAAAGGGCTGTATTTTAAAGACAGCCTCTGATTTTGCCACTGCAGTTTTGTGCTTGCAAACTGCTACATAATCAGGTACTTGGACAGTTAAATTCTCTCTCTTTCCCCTTCAATTGATTTGTAGGCACCTAATTAGAGGCCTGTTTAAAAAATTGCCCCAAAAAGCCTAGTGCTGAGTTAATGGAGCACAAAACCAGAGGTTAAAGATCAGAACTCTCTTTGTGCCCATGGAATTCAGAACCAACTATTACTGCTACTCATTATTTTTATTACAGTACCATCCAGAGGCCCCAAACATGGAGCAGATCCCCATCATACACTTAGGTAGTAAGAGACAGTCCTTGCCCCAAAGAGCTTGCAATCTAGGTGTTAAATAATTTTAAAAAATTATTACCACCAGCCAGCCCTGACCCAAACGATACAGGCCCAATTCCCCTCTAGCTGGGAACTTGCATCCAGACTCAAACCCTTCAAGAAAGGGAAGGAAAGCTTGACAATCCATTCAAGAGGAAACAAGGAATCAATGGCTACCTTGGGATCTACCAATGCTCCAGCCTTGATAAGGTACTTCACAGCATCCAGATGGTTATTCTCTGCTGCCTCCATCAGCGGGGTCCTCTGGTCCTCCGAGCAGGTGTCTATGTTCGCACCAGCCTGTTAAATGGCCAAGGCAAACACAAGAGCCATTAAAACAGCTACTGTTTAACAACAGAAGGGTGTGGGAATACAGATTGAGAGAACGATTCATCCACATAAAGAAAAGTGATGGGGAAGAGAGGGAGTCAAAACTGATCTCTTTCCGAGAATCACATTATTTGCTCTCTTCCATATTCAGTAACTGGGAGCACAAAGGAACGCACATCTGGAGTTAGATGGTCACTGTTATTAACTCATTCTGTGCCGCTGTAGAATTCATAGCGGGTCTCTGATCATCTGTACGATGCCTCAAAAATCTCTATATCCTCTAAATCCAAAGAGCAGTCCTCTATTCCCAAGGGCCCACCAACTCCATGAGGATGAGGAAACAAACCGTTGTCCCCTCCCTATCATCACAAGCTGTTCTGGAACGACCTAGTCACCAATAGCAAGGATAGGGTTTTCCAAAGCACTCACCATTGGGATGCCCGCTCCCACTTAAGTCAACAGTAAAATTTCCATTGACTTCCATGATAGCGGAGTTAGGCCAATGCGGAGTTGCTTGGGAAAATCCTACCTTTATTTGTTATCAGAATGCTACTGTGCAATACATTTGGCCAATTTATTCCCTATGTTTTGCCAAATAACACACAAACTGCTTCAAAACAAGCAAAAAACAAACAAACCCAAATTCTACCATTCAGAGGCAGGCACAATCCTGCGATTTTGTTGTTGTTGTTGTTAAGAGAAGGCCTATCTACAGCAGTAACAGGCTGACTCAGATTCACCTATGCACGTAAAGGGGGCCGATTGCTTCCAGCTGCCCTTCAACAGACCCCTTTGATTTTATTGCTTTTAAAGATCTAAAACACCCAATTCACACTGTGGAAGGGGTGTTTCAGGTTAGGGGAACAGGGGATATTATTGCCCCAGTATTGTGTTGTCGCAACAGCCTTGCAATAGGAAACGCATGAGATGCTGGACTTGTCCCCAGGCTCCATCCTCCTGACATGGTCATCCCTTTGACAGAATTATTCTTCTAACAGATTTTATTCCTGTGATTCATTGCAAGGCCTTACTCACACAAGTACTTCCACTGACTTCAAACAGGACAACTCGCCTGGACAAAAGGAGCAGGGTTAAGGTGCATATTTTCAACAGTCATCACTGATTTTACATGCTTCTATTTTTGGGTGCTCAACTTGAGACACCCTCCAGGAGCTTCATTTTCAGAGCACAGGAGGCTCAGCACTTTCTGCAAAGCAAGCCCCTTCGAAGTCTCTCAAAGTGGGCACCCAAAACCACCAGTCACTTTGAAAACATGGGCCTGTTCCTTGTGCTTTACCGTCGTGCAAGTTTAAAAAGCCCATTCTTTTAAAACCATTAATTTAAGAGGGGTCCAATACAAAACATTTTTTGTACTCCAGTTCTTCGCGTTAACCAGGTGTCTCCCTTTATACAAACTTAGTAGTGTCCAAATCTCATCAACTCACACTCAACAGACCAGAAGAAGAATGCACTATTATTTACAGTGCCTTTGATTTGCAATGGAAGCACTGAGCCTACATTCAGGTGAGGGGAGAGGCAGACAGACAGGAAATCCTGAGATTTAAGGGGTTATAGTGGAAGGGAAAGGCTCAGTAGGTTTATTCCCAAATATTTTTCAGCCATGGGGGGTAGGAGGACATGGCATGGAGAGGAACCTCTTGATTTGAAGAATATAAATGGAGATGAACCTGAATCAGCATGTGGCAGATGTCCACGTGCCCAGACTCTGCAGCAGCGTGGAGAGGGGTTCTCTTATTCTGGTGCTCCATTTTGAAGTTGGGGTCAATCCCGTCCACTGAAAAACAAACAGAGACTCTTCCAGCTGGGATACAGAAATCAGCAGCGAACTGCCACCATCTCATTTGGGATCTTAAATTAAATTATTGTTACATCATTGCTACCACCAAGTGCGAAACCAATGAAACCCAAGAGTGACTATTTTTGTAGACCAGGCAGTTCTCAGATGTGATGTGAACTACCTTTTAACACAGAGACGGTCTTATGGACGCCTCTCTTCCCATTTGCTATCCTGCATGCCACCTCCCCTCTCATTCACAATTCTCTAACATCCCGATGGCTGCAACAGCAATTGTTGAATGGAGAAGTAACAGGGAAATAATTTAATCTATCTGTAGCTTCTCTTACAATCATAATAATAATAATACCACCATCACCTAACTCTTTATAGTGCTTTTCATCAGTAGATCTCAAAGCGCTTCATGGTCTCTAACATATTTATCTTCTGTGAGGTAGGGCAGTGCTATTATCCCCACTTTACAGATGGGAAACTGAGGCACAGAGCAACCAAGTGCCTTGCCCAAGGTCACAAAAGAAGTCTGTGGCAGAGCAGAGAATTGAGCCCAGGTTTCCCAAGTACCAGGATAGTACTTTAACCACTGCAGACTGGGAGAAGCCCTGTGACCCAGCTTGCTCTCTTTGGACCACCAGCAAGTCCTTGATGGATCACTAGCACTCCTCTTCTGTCTCTGTAAACACTGGGCTCCACTGAAGTCAATAAAGCTACTCCAATTAACACCAGCTGAAGATCTGGCCCAGCTGTGCAGAAACTGACAGATGATGATGATGGCCAGGCAATGATGGCTGGACACAACAATATGGTATGTAGGATGAAGTCGTAGTTAAACAAAATACCAGAATCGATCTTCACTACTACCGAGGACTCAGGCAACACAGTCGACATTTGCCAAAAGGACAAAGGTGTTTGTGAAAAGAAAAGACTGAAAGTATTTGCAAACATGTATTACAAAACACTGGAGAGGAGCTAAAACGATCAACAGAAAAAATTACTCAACAGTGTCCTGCAACCAAAACAAAAAGAGCAGTGATAAAAGCAACATCAGAATCTCAAAATTATCCTCCAGTTGAAGTTTATTAAGCACTTAATAAAGCTTTGTACACTGAGAATCTTTCATTCTCTGCAAACTCACTGAGGGTCCTAAATTTAAAACACCTTTCATACCACTTGTAAACACCCCCCACACACTCATTTTGAGGTTAGGCAAATTTTGCCAGTTTGGAAAATTACATGGAGGATGTTTGAGGGCAGTTAAGGGTGGGCATCTGTATAAAACTGTGTCCATATTCAGATGCAAGTTGGCAGTGGGTCCACATATGAGAGAGAGAGAGGAGAAACAACTGTCAATGATAACTTATTGGCAAAACTGATTTTAGCTTCCAACACCCTCCCACGTGGGCCAACAGGGAATGCAAAGTAGGGAACTGGACTGTGGCAATTGACTTGCAGGAGCTGGAGTACTGCCAAACTAGCAACCTTCTGGGCAGGATCCACTTACCCAACATAAGCAGGACTTTCTGCAGTTCCCCTTGCCTGGCAGAAAAGTACAGCTGCTTCGGATGGAACCGTAACTTCTTCGGTCTGTAGCAGAGAGGAAATAGGCTTATTATATACTCTTAAAGAAAAGTCCCAAGAGCTCTGTCCTCTCCTCACTGCCATTGGTTCATGCCAGAAGTCTGTTCCTAAGGAATATCAGGAAGTACCAGGTGCATCTGCTCTCCTTGAAGGGCACATTTCTACCACTCTCTACCAACCCGCTTCAGACATACCACGGACAGCCCTATCCCCGAGCCCACTAGACAGAGCCTTTGGGTTCACCCAGTGGATGTGCCTCACTGAAGGCAAGAGAATGCAGCTACGGCAAGCGCTCGGCTTTTTACCACACCCACTCGAGCACCGTGTGACCAGCATCACATGGCTGTGTGCACAGAACGAGGCGTTAGAGGCAGGAAGCAGCATTTCCTCCCCTCAACTCCTTCAGTAATACCTTTCGTGTAAACGTTCCACTGGGTTCAGCTACTCAACAGACCTCTACCAGGGCTGCTAAACAGCAGCCGTTACCTTGTTCTTGGAGGACTCCAGGTTTCCCGGAATGTCAAGTAGGCAGAAGGCTTCAAGGAGCCAGACAGAGGGAGCTCCCGATTTTGGGGTTCACTCTTGTCGGTGTGCTAAGAGTGTGAATGGGGATCCCTGGTAGGTCAATCTTGGTAGTACGATCTGTGGGAAGGCAGACTAATCCCCACTAGCAAATCCATCAGCATGATGGATGCAGCAGAAGCTGTGCTGCAGAACCCACAATCCTCAGTGGAGAATGACCCATCTGAATAGAAACACTCCCTGTTCAAGTGGGCCTCAAAGCCCAAACAGACTAAATCCTGGTTTGTTCCAGCCCAATGAACCTGGGGGGCACTGGAGAGCCTTGGACGCCAGTTCTTACTTTTCTGAATCCAGGGCAATCAAAGCACTTTCCAAGGTTTCTTTAACTGGTCCCTGAGGCAGGCCAGTGGCAGGCTTCACAAAAACAGAAGACCCAGCCAAATCAAACCCCTCAGCAGCCGAACTCTCTGGCTTGTCTTCCTCAGACAACTGTGTTCCAATGCCACTGAAGTGAGAGAGAGAGAGAGAGATAGCCAAACATAAGCACTGAACCCAGACAAGAGCACATATGTCTTATGCCAAATAAGGAAAGAAAACGAGTTTTAAAAGCAAATGGCTTAAACAATTTTGAAAAGTGGCCTCTTGGCCAGAATTCTCCTCGGACCAGAAGCAGCGTTACCTTCTCATTAGAGTAGATGTGCTCTAAGAAACATAACTGGGGATACAGCTACTACTGCATCATGGGGCAGAGAGCACTGTACTTTCTCAGCAGACTGCTGGGACAAGGCGGTAAGTGACAAAGATCATTAGCACATGCTCAGATGAACCTCAAGATTTAGAATCTCTCTTAAGCACTGCTCAATACTGAAGACTTCCAGAACAGGTGATGATTTGCTTTGATTTTCTCTATGCACACATGCTGCTTGGTTAGAGCCACATGTATTATGGTCTGGTGCTATGTAAGCTTGCTCCCTGAGATGATATCTGCTAACCCCAATCCTGACCCGCAGACACCCACTACTAATCCAGTCCTAGGCTCCCCGCACAGCTCTGCCAATCCACCTCAGTCCCTGCATCTCGCCCTGATAATTTTGGGCCCCTCTCGAGCAGAATGCAAGATATGCTGAATTACACAGTGGTTTTATGAGGGGGACAAATGTCTCTGGGGACTGGACTGACACCAAGAACTCATTTAACTTGTAACATGGGAGGCCAGGTCTTCAGAGATGGAAGTCCAGTGCATCATCCTGGGACAGCCTTCAGCTTCCAGCTGCTGGATTTGGCACATAAGACAAGAACCAGGAACCTGTTTGATCCATGAAGCAGAGGTGGGGGGTTTCAGACATAAATCAAGGCACCCCGGAGAGCCCAATGCTTCTACTGAGCAGCGACTCACCTCCCTGTGGTGGTGTCTGCCCTTCCCTCTAGAGCCATTGGCTTCTCCTGCTCGTAGGTCAGCAACACTGTGGAGGTCGTGTCTGCTTTTGCTATCGTCACCTCCTTCGCCTTAGAGGCCTCTTCCCCGCAGTGCGGGCAGTAGCTCGTGTCATTGACCTGGGAAGCACAGTTCTTGTGGAAACGGTGAGAAATGCTGCTTTCAGGCTGACACTCCATGAAAGTACCCTGGGGGGAGAGAACACACAGAAGTAGTTCACATGTTCAGTCATAAATAATAATGTTCTTCACCCTTCTCTTTAGTATGACCTTTAGTATCGCTTTAGTATCATCAGCACATGCCGGGAAGGAAGGCCAGAATTATCACCATTCTACAGATGAACAAAACAGCAGCAATGAGGAACAACTGATTGGCTATGATTACAAACCAAGCCACTAACAGATCTGGCAACAGAACCCAGGACTCTTGGTTCCTCATTCTCTGCTCTAACATCTCCCAACATCAAAACTCTTGCTGTGTTTCTAGAAACACAAGCTCTAATATGCGGCATGTTGTAATGGCTTATACATTGGAGTAACACTTCCCCTTTCCCAGCGGATGCGCTCTCTGTGCACATGATGCTCCCAAAAGCAAAAAGGTCACATGTAAAGATGACAGGTCTGCACACTAAGAAAATCTGACAACTGACGTCTATTGCAGGACTTCACTTACAGGTGTGCTGTAAAGCTACACTGACAATGGAGTTAATGCCTGGCCTTACCTACACAGAGCTACACTCCTAAACCAATTTAAGAGAATCCATGCAAGGGGTTACACCGATGTAGCGACTTCAGTTTCTAAACCAACTTAGCTAAATCAGGATGACTTTTGTGTTTACACAAAGCCCTAGAAGTGTGTGCTGTAGAACACCACTAAACTGGCTCTAATGGCTTTCTTCTCCTCGCTCCAAAATCCTCCAACACTTCCTGATGACTTGAAGTCATCCCAGAATCCATCATTCTGTGGCACCAGTGTTACCTGAAGCCCATCTATTGTGATGGAACAGACGGATGCACTCTGGGATAGCATTTATGAACCAAGACATGCCAATCACGTGGACAGGTTAGTTGAATCCCCATGTGAATCAGGTAAATATTATCCCATGTTTACAAATAGGCAAACTGAGGCACAGCTGAGTTAAGTGACTAGACCAAACCTACAGAGCCTCAGTGGCAGAGCTGGGACTAGAATATATTGTCTTGCTCTAACCACACCACCCAAATTCACTATATATAATCCATGGCAAACAAAGCACTGCACACGGGATACAACAGATCACACGTGCAGAGACCGATTTACAAAGAAATAAGACGTAAACTTTTAACAGAGAGAGAAATTAACCTTTGGAACAACTTTCCAAGGGTCGTGTAGATTCTCCATCACTGGTCATTTTTAAATCCAGAACGGATGTTACTCTAAGAGATCTGCTCTAGGAATTATTTTGGGGAAGTTCTCTGGCCTGCATTACACAGGAGGTCAGACTAGATGGTCACAACGGTCCCTTCTGGATTTGGAATCTACGATGGTAAACTGTGAAAGGCCATTATGGGAAAGATCAGTGTGGGGGAGAAGAAACCCACAGCCCTGAAACTCTTAAGGCAAGGCCTCCAACATGGTACAGCTGTCAAGCTGGATCAGTCAATAATATTCTTTGAGGTTCCTCTGGAGGCTAAAGATAGCCCAGGGTATGTTACCTAGCTGCTGCTGTACCTATTCCACAGCATTTAAAGCAGCATTTCCCAGCAGTGAGAAGGAGAAAAGATATGTGTGATCACTGAAAGCCATCATGGCAAGCCTCTACATTAGGCACCTGCAGCACCTCTGGGTACCCCCAGGCTAAAATGAGAGACTTACTGCAGTGCAGAAGTATCCACAGCCAGGGCAGCACTGGTGTTTCACCATTCTCCCTCTGTGGTCCTCGCACAGCACCAAGAGCTGGACCTTGTTAGAAGGGCGCATCAGCTCATATTTCACCACACTGTTTGTGCACCGGCCCAGCTGGAATAGGAATAATGAAAGGAAAGGCAATTACTGGAGACCAAAACACAGACAATCCTCTGTGCACATTGCCGTGATGAAACCTAGCCTTTTCACAGCCATTCAGATGCATGCCAGACAGCATTAGCCGTCCAATAGGGAGCAGGGAAAGCTGCTCTCACAGGAAGAAATGCATCATTTACTAACTAACATGCATATGGACCAGAGAGTCATTCAATCCTCATAAGGAAATTCATAACTGGAAATACGCAAGAGCCAAGCAGCAGCAGAATGGGCAGCCCCCTGGGTTTGAGTCACCAAACACTCACTCTCATTTTGCCAGAAACACAGGGTGTCATTGACTGAGGGAACAAGACCTAATGCACCAAAGCTCATTACTGTTCGAAAGTGAACACATCATGAGACAGAGGGAGAATCACTGTACAATTAAATTATGGCTTGTGCTTGTTGAGGTCCCGAGCTGGAACACGCCCAGGCACATTAAGGCCCAGATTTTCATAAGAGCACAACACACTGTGCAAGCAGTGTGTGCTGAAACCTTTAAAAAAATTGAAAAAATCTGGCCTTCTAGGGACAGAGTTACCATCAATGTCTGATTCAAAGAACCCTTATGTTCTCTCCCACTACCTTAGGTTATTAACCTATTTTCAGGATCACCTATATCAGGGTTCACCTTTAAACACGTATGCTGCTTGCTTTGCTAGATCAGTGCTTCCCCCTGCTGCATTCACACTTATACATCTTGTCATTTTCACTTCCTGAGTGCCAAGCACTAGGCAGCATGGCATTATGTTGGGGTTTCCAAAACTTTCACCAACTCCTTAAATTCTACCCCTCCAGCACCACCTCCAAAAAACCTCCTTCCCCCCACCCTTAAATGCCATGACAACCTATTGTGATAAACATCCCTACCAAATCAAAACACTGGACCCAAAGCTCACTGATGTGACTGTCAACACCACTGCGTGGGTCAGAAGAGCCACTAATAAAAGTGGCATCCTCTCACTCAGAGTGAGCTGAAAGTTAGCGAACAAATTCCCTTGTTTTACCTATAAACTAAGCAAATTTGATCAGACATACGGCAGGTTGGCCTGTCTATGTTAAGCAGTTCTGATGTTACCTTGGTCACATTTTCTATTAAGGTTCCATTTCCAGGTAGTTTTTAAAAAGAGTACATAAATGATTAGTGGCTCTTTTATCAAACTGACAATCAATTGCTGTAGAGGCCAACAGGTGGCTTATAACCTTGGATAACCCCTTCCAATACTGTGCTTACAACCATCCAGCTACGTACTAGTCCTGTAACATGCTTAAAACATCTATTAGCCACTTATTAATGCTTTATAACATACAAACTTAATATAAAGGGCGGCCATTATTCCTTCGGCCAGCTCACCCCCAATCTGTCTGAGAAAGGGAGCTCTCAGAGAACTGTACAGCTTCTTAACATATCCTCTACCTTGTCTAGAGACCCCTGAGAGTGAGACTCCAAGTCTTTTCCTCCCCAAGGCTCTAGGGATGTTTTCCCTTCAATGACTAGCCCCTGTCTTGCATTGGGGATTCCTTTGCCATGGGGTAGTCGTGTGCGTAAGTGACTGGAATACAAGTGGCCTGCGAAAGGCTGTTAAGTATTCCCCCACTCCCAATTCTTTCCAGAACCCAGAAAAAGAACCTGAACAATTCTGACTCCCTGCTCTGTGCAAGCGGCTCAGCAAGTGATACTGTGTTCTGCGGGGAAGGAAAGCGTCTCCCAGTAAAAAGGAAGTTTAACAGTTTGTTTTCTTGCCTGAAGTGGTACCTCCCAAGCTCCGCAGAGAGAATGAATTGGGGGCTTATTTCAGTGCTGCTGGCAGCCACTGGAACCGGGCTGGTCCCACTGTGGTTAATTGAAAGACACAAGTGCAGCACTTTTCAGCCAGGAGAACCTGAAGGCAGCACAGGGCTTCTGGGATATAGAAAGCCTTGCAGCAAAGGAGTAATGCAGGAGAGGGGAAGTATAGGTGGGAGTTAGTGGGCGGGCAACTGCTCCAGAAACACTTTCCAAGCGCTAGGAAAAGTCTGTATTGGCTCCTGGGTAATCAAGAGAAATGGCCTCCCATGTTTCCTCTGTTTGAATGTTCTCAGTTTGATGCATGCAAATGTATTTTATTCCACTTGGTTTGGAGTGCCTTTATTTTAACAAGCCAGCCCAGCTGTACAGCCTGAGACATGCAGCACAGAACCACCTGCTGCCCCTGCTCCATTCGCTCTCCAAGGGCGCCATCCCCTACAGCTGGACTGGCTTGGTGCAACAGTGGTACGTCCCTGTTTTCCGTGGGTGGCTGTGATGTATGGAGTGCTGGAACTTGTGTTCCCAGCCCAATAAAAGGGCAGGGTCTCGCTATTCAGACAAAGCAGAGGGTCCCGATCTTACCATGCTATATCGCCTCTGCATGGCCTGGTAGATGCTCCCCGCACTATACCCCATTCAGCTGCTATGTCTCCTTTGTCCCCTCTCTTCTGCCTCTTTCTTATTTTCCTTCTCATTTTGTATCCTCCCCACTAATTTTTTACTCCTTTCCTTGTGTGTGTGGGGGGTGGGGTGGGGGGGGTATTTTTCCTGGCTCTCTCCCCTCCCTACGCCCCTCTCACCAGAAGTGCACATACTATCGGTGGGAAGAGTCTACTGGTGCCTCTGTGCAGCTGCAACACAGGCTCCTGAAGCTGAGCTACATCCCTCGAGAGCCTAGTCACAGGGCAGGAGCAGGAGGGAAGGCAGCTGGCTTTCAAGCAGCTGACAGCCACGTTACTTGCTACTACACATGTGCGGCAAGGAGAGTTCTTTGTCCTATTTGCTCCCAAACCCCCTCTGCATGGACTAGTCTGGGGACCTGCCCCAGGCTGGGAAACTAGCCTGTAAACCGAGCGCACTTATGTTCTCAGCACAGACCTCTTCAGACTCCTGCTGCCAAAGTCAAGACCTTGGCAAACCAACTCAGCACATCCAATTTCTCTCCCCAAAGAGAGCAGGCAGAGTCCTCAGCACGTGAAGCAGAGGGGACTCACTCTTCCATGGGAGGAAGCTGAAGGAAGGGCTCCTACCTCATTGTCCACACTCTCCGTTGCCATGCACTGGTTGTTGGCTAGTGTGGTAATCTCTCGGCTTTTGGGGGTTTCCATTCGACAGCTACAGAGAGGCACTTCCTGAAGACCGTCCATTTCCATTGCTTCAGGGCCATTAGAAAGACCTAAGGTGCAAAAGGCAAGTCAGTCAGCTCTGTAATTACTTCCTGAGAACACCCAGAGGGAAGAAAAGGACACAGTTGGTCAATGTTAGCTTTACCCTTCTAGAGCACCCTCCACACAAGGTTCTCAAAGCACTTTACAAGCATTAGTTAAACCTTGTAACATAGGTACACAATTGTTCTAATCCCGATCCTACAGATGGGGGGGAACCAAGGTACTCAGTGTGGAGTTTTCAGATATGTTCAGGGTTGGTCTAGCTCTGCTCCCCCTGGGAACTTTACCACCGACTTCAACGGAAGCGGGCACTTATGACAACTGAAAACCCCACCCAAAAAGAGTGACATGCCCGAAGTCACACAGTGCATCTGTGGCAGAGAATAGAGAACCCAGGAGTCCTGACTCCCAATACTCTAAGTATCAGATAACTTGCAGGGGACCAACTGCCGTTCAAAGTCTGAAGCTACATTATAGCAGCATGGCAGAATGTCAGCAAAGTATTTTATCACTGTCTTCTATTTGCAAAGGCTTATGACATGGTTGAAAAATATTCCTTGGCATATTTCATCTGAGCCAGGGACGGAATATCTGAATCCTATCTGAACAGTGTTCTTCACACATTTTTGAGTTACAGAAACACACACTTTTTAAAAAAAACTTCCTAGACATTTTCCCTTGGCTAATTCAAAACTATCTTGTTTTTCAGAGCCAAGCCTGGGAAGCTATTAGGTCTTCAAGTGAAGTAATCATTGCTTTTTGATTTAAAAAAAATAAAAAAGCTTGAAAAGGGGAGTTATTTTACTCTGGGCAAAGGTTGAAACACCAGTACTAATCATTCAGGTCACAGGAGAGATTCCTCTCTGGTGCCACTGTGAAAACAACATTCTCTTTTTTCCTCTGAGAACACCATTTTAAGGGTTAAAAACCAATCCATTTTCATCTTGTAAGGAATGTCCCCAAGCTGTAAATATCATGCTTCCAAGAACCACCACAGTCCATGGATAAAGTCTGTCTCTACTGCATCAACTAGCTGAACAAGCCAGGGTCTTGACAGTGCGGTAAAGGCCCCTCTACATTTTTGTGTAAAAGCGATATAGAGCCTTAAGAAAACGAAGCCTCTGCCAGGATCACAAGGTGGGGAGCAGTTTATTTCTCCTTCCAAGCTGCCATTTCAACAGCCCTTCTGACATTCAGCAGATCTAGTCAAAACACCCACCACCAGCTCACGAAGGCTTCGGGGAGGGAGAGAAATTGACTTTCCGTTCATGGTGGACACTCCCACGACTTCTGTGATGTCCCATGATTGAAAGAATGAGGCAGACGTCCAAAGGCAGCAGAATGTGGGGGAGAGTCAGTTTTATGATGAAGCACTGGACTCAAGACAAATTCAGCACTGGGAACAGCAGCCTTCTCATTAGAAGAGGCCTCTCTGGAGCCAACAGGCAGATAGCCCTGCACTTGGATCCCTGGGTACTGCCCTCCTGCGTAGGAGAAGCATTCCATCCTCAGGGAGTCTATCTGCCCGTCTCAGAACGTACTTACAGGAATGATCCAACGCACCCCACTTTGCAATAGTCACACTGAGGTGCTGGGGGCTAGGACTGTAGAATACTGCAGGGCTGCAGTGTGGTACTTTTTGGGTAAATAAGGGTTATTCAAGCGGTGGTGGTGGGTGGGGGGGGGGGAGCTGCAAAACTGGGCAGACAAAAATCGAGGGAGAAAAAGTCAGCCAAAACCATGAAGGCTTGCATCCCCCTGAGAAATGTTTGCAATCTTAAAATCCACCAACAAAACCCAGTAACCTAATTTAAGCCGGGTTCCCGCCCTTGAACCCCATTCTGCACACCACTGAGCCCAGAGAGTAACGTCCCTGAGCTCAGTGAGATTAGCTAGCTGCCTTTTTAATGATGCATCTCTTCAAATTCTCCTATTAGCAGCCACCAGGGGGCATCATCTTAATACAGAGGATAAGACCAAGGAAACAAAGAACCAAAATGGTACATGGCCATATTTAGAAAGCTGACACTCACCTTCTGATTGTGAAGATAGAATTCCCTTTACTCGGAGATCCAAAGAATCAAGAGACACTTCCATGTATTCCATACTATTCTCCTGCCCAGCTCCCTCTCTGCCTCCCAAAGGTGGTTTATACGCTTCAGTACCTAAATTAAAATATACATATATTTATATAGCAAAAAAAAAAAGAGTGTGTGTATGTATAAAGGCCACATTCATCACAAGAAAGCAGTATGCAGGCTACACTCCTAAGAGAGTCTATAAATACAGATGCGCACAGAATAATGAAAACGTAACATCTGGGCACATATGTTAAAATTGATCTCTTATCTCTTATTTCCTTCTCTGTATGATCGGGTCGATTTTTCACTTCCACTTAGGTAACGATAAAAGAATAAAATGAGACAAACAAGTCCTGCCTTCCAAACACACATCTGTCTGCTGCCGTACTGCATCAGCAGCAGAAGCTTAAATGGCAAGAGAAAGGGATGGAAGCCTAGCTCACCCTGACTTACCCCACAATCTCTCTCTCCAACCTGCTGCAAAGGGCCCTGGGCCACTGCCCTAGCCAGGCAGTGCAAACTAACCAATAATGTATACATAAAAACACTGAAAGGGAATGGGACAGCTGACATTCAGATTAATGGGAGGGGGGAGCGTAAGTGCCCATCCTACCATTAAATAAGCAATGCTGCTACTGAATCGAGATTTTGGAGGGAGGGAGGGAAGAGATATTTGGGAGTATTTTCATGCATTCAAGCCCCTTTAAATTCACCCATCTTCACGCTTGTTTCTTGCTTGCTCCTATCACTTAGTCTAATTGGTGCCAACAGGCTGGATGACTGGGGAACAGCTGGTTTTCATGCCAACACCTGTATTTGCAGGTCAGCAACAGGACCCACGCCTGAATTTTAGTATTAGCTATTTGCCCAGAAGTGATTGGCACCCCCAATTCCTATTAATAAAGTTTCCATCATCCAATCAGGGAAAAGAAACACCGGGCACGACTGATGTGATCACTTTCACACTACGAACCAACCCATGGGCAGAAACGTGTTTACTCAGCCAGTTATGACAGAAGTTGGTAAAAGTCAGTCTGTCTGCAGAAAGTTTGCAAGCAGAAAGACCGCTTCTCTCATTGGATAAACCTTTAAATGGTGAAGGAGAAGTGCGACCCTTTAATAACTGCGCTGACTGAAAGGCTTCACCACTGTATTCCTAGAGACTCAACCTCTTTTACCCTGCAGCCGGAGAATTGATCAGACCCACCCTCCCTTCAATCTCTCTACACAGCGGCTCACGAGAGAAAGGGTAGTGTAAGCTATACGGTATGTTGCACATTGTGGGTCAAATAAATTCGACACTCTGAACTTTACCCTCATTGTGGAGGTGCCAACAGGCCAATCATCACACACTTTGCATTGCTTCCATATGATGGGGATACCCAAAACCAGGCATAGGCAACTGCACAAGAGCAATAAAATCTCATGCCCCAGTCTACATGGTGGTTTCTCTGTGTCCCTTCTGAGCATACGTGGATGAGTTTGTGAGATTTGCTTGGATCTTAATTCTTACTACACAGGAGCCACCAGATTTGCTCCTTCTCTTCCACAGGCTCTGATCATGGTACTCTTTCCTCTGGTTGGGCGAGGCAGGCAAGAGAACAATCCCATGACTAACTGGAAAATGTTCACCTAAGGAGCAGCAGCCAACCTGCCCCCACTGCCCCCTACCCAAACCCATGCAGCCCTTCTGCTTGTTGGCTCTTCTGCTGTCTTGGAGGAAGAACAAAGACTGGGGGTTATTCCCAAATCTGCCATGTCACCTGAAAAACCTACTGATTCCTTTGTGAAGGGAGAAGTGCTCATAAGTGCTTCACACACAATCACTGGCTGTAGGGCATCGGTGTTCTGAAATATAGTGGATTCACGTTCGGGAAATTCACGGGGGCAGAGACTGTTTTGTCCTATGTTTGTACAGCGCCTAGCACGCTGGGTCCTGGCCTATGACCAAGGCACCTAGGCACTACAAAAAGACAAACAATAAATAATAATGTCTATCTGCAACAGTAGCTGTGTCAACGACCCTGGTTACACCATGGTTCTATATGGCTCCATTGTACCCCTGAACCTTTTCAAACTCTCAAACTGTTCAGGTTTTGTGGGTGGTTTGGGGGCAGAGTCCATGTCCGACTGGTGGTGTAAAACCAAACAACACAGTAACGTGCGTTGGGGACAGCTTTTTTGTTCCTGGGGCTCCTAATGTAGCTGAAGTTCAAGTGTAAACTTGCCCTAAGTGTCTTCTTCAAAGCTGGTAAAGATGGGGATGCTGGTGTAAGTTCCTATGGCAAATCCTGAGATGCATTTTAAGGTAACAAAAGCAACCTCTAACCCTGTAATCGTTTTCCACTCAAGCACTTCCCTCCTCCCACTTATCATCCTTAACATCTACAAAGACAAGGCAACAAATCACTGGGAGTAGAGGCCACCATTCCTTTGTCTTCACCTGGAAGGCCTGTTTCTGTATATTTAGCAGACAAATTCAACCGATTACCTAACATACTGGCTTGTTTCTTTTTATTCCTCCTCCTCCTCTTCCGGGTGGGTTTCAGCCACGGGCTGTCTGTCTTTCCTTTCCTCTTTAGCAGTTTCTTCTTGATGCTGGACTCGGAGCTCTGAATAACCAGAAAGGCCATTTGCACACAAAGCACGCCCGTACTAGTGACCCAATACTAATTTCCATCCATTTTAAGGCCCACTTACACTAACCACCCTTACATCACTCCAGTAGTGTAACTGAGAATCAGGGTTTGAAATCATCCATTTGGTGCTAAGAAGTTTCTAGAGCTTACTAGACACACATGGGCATGTTTTCGGTCATTAAAACATAAGAACTTAAGAATGGCCATACTGAGTCAGACCAAAGGTCCATCCAGCCCAGTATCCGGTCTACCGACAGTGGCCAGTGCCAGGTGCCCCAGAGGGAGTGAACCTAACAGATAATGATCTAGTGATCTCTCTCCTGCATCCATCTCCACCCTCTGACAAACAGAGGCTAAGGACAGTGCATGCTTCGCTTTCAACATACTTTTCTAGGGCAAGGTACTGGGTATACACACAGACTGAACATAGTCACTACAGAGAGAGATCACCCAGTACTCTGGAGGCCAGTCTCATCAGTGACAAATCCCGGCTGATTTATTGCTTAATGTACGTAATATGTTTATACAATATACTCCAGGGTGGGTGTTCAAAACAGTCATTAAAATTGGGAGTTGGGCATCCAAATCTCTTAGGCAGCCTTGAAAATCTAAGCCTCTAAGGCCATGTTCAAATTTAAATTGACATCCCATTAATGGCCCAACCCAACTTCCACTTCAGTCAATCAAGAGGTTTCAGATCTACATTGTCTTCCTCCTCAAAATACTCTGTATCATGCTCTACCCTCGCACTGGAACCACTCAGAAAATATCTGGTACTGAGCCCTTGCTCTCCAAGGCAGGTGCAGACTCATATTGACCAATGAGAGGAGTAAGGTACAGAGCCAAGCACTCTCTGCTGACTATACTGTGCTCCAGATGTTTAACTATAGGGACTCTTAGTCAAATGCTTCTGCCACTCATTCTTCCCTGATGGCTCATTGGGAGACCAGTGGTCACTCAGACAGCCAGGATCCAAACCGTAAAGGGCTTTACAGATTGAAATCCAACACTGTGAATTGTCCTAAAAGGGATAATGAGATACATCAAGGAACTGCACAGGAAAAGTTATTCAGGAAGCCAGAACCAAACCAATGCCAGGGCGCATTACTACTGACCAGGATCTGACCTTCCCTTCCTGCTCCAACTTAACAGAAACTATGCTTGTTGCAATTTCTTCCACCTTCAACCTTCTGCTCAGCCAGATAAACTGATTATGCAAATAACTGAGGCTAAAGATTTTCGTAAGTGACTAGTGAATCTGAATGCCTTAAAAGGGGGCCTGATTTTCAGAGGGGGTGGAGGCAGGTCAGCACTGTGTGAAAACCAAGTTCCCCTGAGACACCTCACAGTGGGCACCCAAAAAGCGCGAACATTTGGACACTGTAAAAAGGTGCAATTTTCTCCCCATTTTGCTTGAGTCAGGTGACTGTGTGTGTTGTTTATAAGCCTAAATCTCTATTCTCTGAGCTGTTCTATGGCTCAAAGGGCCCAGTGAGTGCTGGGGCCATGGATTAATGGATGAACTCAACAGTGTTCTGAAAAGGTGGGTTCAATTTCAGCTCATTTAAAAAAAAATTGTTATAGACTCCTTACAACTGCCAGGTCTGTATCCAAGGAAGAACTTAAGAGGAACCAATCAACTATTTCCATTAACATTAAATGTAAGAAGAAACTAGTCAGCACCTTGTTGAAAACAGCGAACAAGCAAAAACCCTTTAGTGAGCATCAGAAGGCAACTGGTTCTATCACAGATCATGGACATGATGGAAAATATGGCTCCCGTGTGGGTGGTTCCATTGGGTTTCAGACAGTGACTCTGTCACACTGGCAGGGAACCACGGTGCTTCTCCCTTTCTACGCTCTGCCTGAGAGAAAGATATTGCAACAGGGCAAAGATCGAAAAGAAACATCTCGCAGCCTAGCTTACCAAGTCGGATTCATCTCCATCTTCCTCCTCCTCCCCAGATTCTCCAGACTCTTGTTCCTCCTCAGATTCACCGTCTTCCATCTGTAGTCAGCATTCCCCCAAGAAGAGAAAGAGTTGGCCATGTCAGCTATTTCAAACCAAAGCACCTTCCTCATCATGCAACCATAGGGCTTCTGTCACCAAGCCCCATCCATGCTCTAGCCAGAGTGTGAACTAACAGAACTCACTTCCCAAAGCAAGAACCCCTCGTCTGTTAACTCACAGCACGGGCACGTGTACTGGGGCAGGATTGGAAGCTCCACTTCCACCACAAAGAAAAGCTCTGCTACCCAGCATGAGGGTCATAACCTTCACGGCTTCCCAGAAGCAGGGCCAGCTTCATGTCTTTGCTATCTATTACAGAAAGATCCAGCCACTCAGGAGGGGTGACAAGAAAGGATAGGGTGATGTTTGGTGCATCTGATTTTTACTGCTTCAGATATAAACCCTCATGCTTCAGGATATAAAACAGCCTATAACTGAAGAGGATTAGGAAGAAACTTGCTCTTTGGTAAGTAAATTTTATGACTGTCTGCAATGGGGTTTCTGCTTCTGTTCCTCAAGCCTCTGGTTCTGGTCCCTGTCCCCAGGCTATGAGACGAAACGATACTGTATGGCAAAGCCCCAATTCCAAAATTCCTACAGCAGGCAAGGAGGAGAAGTAGCAGATCACCAGAGGCCTCTGCTCCCAAAGCCCTGTTCTCTGCCACCTCAAGTGCTAAGTCCTAGAAACCTCCTCACTTCATGCTGTGAACGTTGGTTCCTCTCTTTCTCTGTCCTGTTCCCATGCACAAAAATCCCCCTTCAGCTCTTTCACAGTCACTCGAACAGCACCCAAATACCTGTCTGGCACTGTCGGCATCAGACGAGCCCTCCTTAGGGATCCTGTTGTCCTGGGAGGGAGATGCAGCGGGCTGTTCAGCTCCACGTTCATCTTCCTCTTCCAGGTCGTCAGAGTCTTCCTCTCCAGAGTCCACCTCTGTGCTCTCCCCATTCATGTGCGGGCTGATGCCAATTAGGTCCTTTTCACCCTGACACATACCCAAGTACGTAAACCAGGAAGGCCGCAGCAACCCATGCTACTGGCCCACTGCATCTAACCACAGATTCACATCATCTTCTTTGTGCCAGGCCACCTGCTATGGATTGAGCATAGGACGAGTTCTCCCTCCGAACCCAGTAAGGCTGCTAATGCACCTGGACAGAGACTTTGCCACAAGCAACCAGCTCTATCAACCTGGAGGACGAGACGCCAATGGGAGTAAAGTGGGCTCTCGTGGCAGTACAGAGCGTTAATGGCAGGGTTGCTGGCCAGCCCCGTTCCTTACTAGTAGCACTCATGAGTAAAGACTGACCAGTTAACTGAAAACATCTAATTTATTTCACAAAGGGACAGTTCTGCTGTGTCATCTCAAGGATCATGGGAGGGTTCCCCTACAAGGAAAAGAAGTTCTGACACCCAGGCTGGGATTTTCAGCTCTCACTGAATTTAATGGTAAAACTTCCCTTGCATGAACTGCAGTGGGAGCACAGTTAGGCCAGATCTGAATCCCACCTTTCAAAATCACCTGCCTTTTTCACCTTGCAATCTCAAGCACTAACACGAGGGATGACTCTCCTGAGGGCTCCAAGGCAGAAACATTTGTCAGGGTCACCTTGAGAAATCCCCGGTTCCAAGAAAATCACAGAGAAATGGGAAGCAAAAAAAATCAGAAAGGGATTGTTTTCATTTGTTCAAGGTCTCTTGCCTCATGGCACCTGAGAAGACTCCCTGTAACTGCCCATTTGCAGAACTTTCCCAACCACCAGCCTTAGAAGGGCAGGAAATTGTTACAGTGAGAATACAGTTTTAGGGAATGAATTACAGATCTACAATGAGCTGCCGTATTTGCAAGCCTGCACGTGGGGTTGGTCTCCCAGTGCAAAATACACATGGATGAAAGCGTCAAGCACTTTATTCCCCCACCAAGCATGTACGTAGTAGGTCTGGCTCAGCCCTTACCTTGGCACCAGCAGTGGAATGAGTTATGCTCTTAAACATCTCAATCATCGTTCTCTGTTTTAACACTTTGGTCTTTTTCTTGGGAACCAGGCTATAGGTTCCCATTCTCCGCTTTTTCTTCCGAGATACTGCAGCAGCTGGAGGGGGGAATAAAACACAAAGCAGATTCAGGATGGGAAGGAGAAAGAGTGGAAAGCAGAAGAGATGTCATTCAAGTGCTTAAAAAATGAGGTTACGGGCAGAGAAGCAACACAGAGCAAAAACATAAAGGCTTCTGGAACCCACTGCTCCACTTACAAGTCAACCAAAAAAGTCTGTGTGCAGCACACATGTGTTTCCGTCAAAGCCACAAGCTCAGCCTATGTTCTGAAATTCCCCTGCCCCACCCCCAATTCTTTCTGCTCCTTACATCACCACCTGCAATACAGATTCTCCCTCACAGAACTTAGCAGGCTGTTTTGCTGATGATGCAGGAGGCAGAATAGCATCCAGCTTGCTCACAGAGCCTACAGGAGTAATAACATATGTTTTAACCAGCAAAGTGATGAAGAATAACTTAAGAACACACAGGGAGCAGAGATATTGAATACGGAGATGGTGGTTATTTAACTTCACTTTAAACCTTGCGCCAAAGTTTCAGTTCTCTTCCTTAAACTCCTCTATTCAACCCTTAATTTTGTTAGCCTCCCTCTAGCCCTCCAGACAAATCATAGATCACACCTCAATGCCTGATGTTGTCTTGGGAGAATACATGTCACATGCATATTTGGTTCCGGCTCTTGAAGAATAATGTAAGCCCAGGGAAGGGCTATCCCAGGAGTCAACCTTATTGCTCTCTTGTTGTGAAGTCTCAGTTCCTTTAGAACATTCCCTTGCATCTGATCTTACTTTAAAAGTTTCACTTAAAGGATGTTAAAGAGGCTTCTCTTTAAAAGAGATGTGTTAATACAAGTTATTGTTACTACAAAGCTACACTTCATAATAAGCAGAAACCAGTAGTAAACTACCAACAGAATCCTATGAAATTGTATATTAACAGCTATAGCAATTCCAAACAAAGCCTTCGGTGTAGCAATATCCCTTGTGACAACTGAAGGGCTACAAATTTGTCTATTGTAAACAGCTTCACCCAAGAGTGTGAGTAAATGAAATGTCTGCCCATGACTGCCTTCAGCACCCAAGGGAAGGTGGGGGATTGTGATGGAAGGCACAGGTGCCATGCCCTCTACATACTTAGTGAAGCAGAACACCAAAGCTACAACAAACGGCCAATATCTGAACACCGAGGCTCAAGAAACTAGTTTACACTGGGATTTTCACTCACCCACTCCATTCTCAAACTCTTGATCTCTCGACCCTTCTAAAACTCCACCTGGCTGCTTCTATTGCATCCCTCCATAAACACTACTGCCAGCAGAGCTGATGTCCTCCCAGTGAGGACTCAGAAACTGTGTTAGTTACAGAGAACTCCCATGGACGGGGAGACAGCTTCAACAAAGACTGCAGGCCTAGGCCCTGAGCTATCCAAAGGCTGCAGGCTAGCACATGGTCTGTGGGAGGCAGACAGCCTTACAAGTCCTGCCAGTCTTCCTCAGTTCAAACTCCAAGAGGAGTCGATGGGAATTTGGGGTGTGGAAGGAGTGCTTTCTAATTATCGATCTTAGATGCTCAAGGAGCTTTGGTTCGTTGGGATTAGGCCTTGAAATTTCAAGCTGACTTGTGCTGTGACATATCCCTATAACTACTGTAAGTTCCGCAAATCCACAAGTAGTACAAACCGACAGCTGTAAAAGAAGAAGGAGGATGGGATTTTCAAAAGCATCAAAGTGATGTAGAAGCACAAGTCGTTGCAAAAAGTCAATGGGACATGTGCCCCAAAAGTGACTTGGGAGCACCCGAAAATCTTCACCCTAAATGTAAAACTGATAAGGCAACTAGATAAACACTCTGGGCCAGATCCTGCTCTCAAACAATGGTGTAAATGGGGAGTAACCCTACTGAAATCAACCGAGTCAACCGAGTTTAATACTGGGAGTAACAGAGCATATTCTGGCTCTAAGCAGGCTACTATCAAATATTTTTTTCCAGCTTGGTTTAATTTAGTCTTTTTAGGCCCCACCTTCCCCCTCAAAATCAACTGACTGTGGCCAAGTCATGTTACAACATGGTTTATTCTCCCCAAGTGAAGACATAAAAACATATGGTGCAACTACGTAAGACCCATGTCTCAGCCTAGGTGGTGAGATTCAGTGCTGTACCTCTAAGGAGCACAGCACAGAACTTGTAGCTCTGGGAAGAGGCGCCGAAGCAGCTTTAAGGAACCTTTATGTTCTCCCGATACTGGGATTCCCCCGGTGACTGGGGAGGCCTCCAGAATAACTCAGACACCTTATGGGCTGCAGCCCTGCCCAGAATCTCTAGTGTTGTACATTCCTGCCCCCAACGCGCTCCTTACGCTGGGGTTCCAAACGGGTCCTGGGACGACAGCTCTACTGCTGGCTTCTGCAATGCTTGCACTGGAGGAAAATCGCCTCCAACAGGATACACTGCTTGTAGGATCTCATTTAGTCTGCTCAAGCTCTTGTGTTTCTCTTAAAGGGGCTGGCACATAAAGGGGCATGGATCTCCCACTCCATAGCGAACTAGGGAAAAACCATGGTTCTCTAACATGATTTTAACACACAATAGTTTTTTCTGCCTACATTGCCCAGAATAAGTGATATTTGCTCATATTCTTGATTAAATACGTATTTGTAATGTAGGTAGGGCCCAAAGGTACAGGAGGCGTCTATGCTAGCCTCCCTCTCCCCCCCACACCAAAAATTCCCCATCACTGTTGTTCCACTCGTGCTAGCGAAGGCAAGCTGCTGGCGTTTTAACAAACACACCTCACAGCAGGTCACGGCAACACAGTGGTTAATACAACGGCAACTGCCCGGGTCTGATCCACATTGGCACTTCCGCTGGGGCGAGCAACAGAGGGGAACTCTAGGGGCAAAAGACAGTGGAGACATGGCCACAGCAGAGCAACTTTTAGCCCCCCGCAGCCTGACAGTGTCTCGACCCAAACACAATAAAAGGGGATTTTTTTATTATTATTATTTGGCTCTGTCCTTTTTACCTGTCTGTGATTTTGTGGTGGCCACATAGCTCTGGTTCTGAGGTAGTGACTGATGAAAGCCTGGGAAAGGGGGCAACGGTGGGGGTTTGCCAAACTCCAAGACGTTTTTGTTGCCTTCCTCCTTGGATTCTTTTTGATCTCTGGTGTCTCTCGCTTCTTTGGGGTCTTTACTTGCATGCTGGAAAACAGAGATTAAAATGAGCCTCTGCATCCGGGTCAAAGGTTGCGAGTTACGTTCAAAAGGAAAAAGCGCACGGGCGTGCGCGTGCCCACACACACACACACTCTCTCTCTCTCTCCCCGCCTCCCGTTTGAAGAGGGATGTCTACATTCAAAGCAGAAGCAAACAGACCCAGTCATTTATCCGACTGCTTTCCCCTCCCTCACCAATTTCCTCCACAGAACATTTCTTTGCCTAATCCCTGCAGCACTCTAACAGCCCACTGCGCCTCCACTCATTGAGTACGGCTCCCTTTGAAGGCATCTAGCGGGGAAAGACTGATCCAAAGCATGTGTAAATAATGGAAAGCAGCAGATGCTATTTACACAGGCCTTTGGTCACCCCTGGAAGAGAGGAGTTAATGCAACAGCTCTGCCTGCTCCCCGACACACATCTGTAACGAGGTCCGCATGTGGGAGGGTGGATGGGCAGAGGCAACACAGTCTTCCAGAGAAGCAGTCTACTATGGTTTACAGCACTGCGTGCAACACTGGAAGAAGATTGTTCTGTGGTTTTACAGCGTCTAGCACGATGAGGTTCCGGTCCACAATTGAGGCCCCTCGGTGCTATCTAATAAAGGCAGTAAACAACAACACGGAGGGGGAAAAGAAGGAGTTTCATTGTTTTTCATGACATGGAGATGCAAACCAAAGGCTTGGATAAAGCTTGTCTAGTAGCTACAGCAGAGACTGAGCTCCAGGATTCCTAGGGCGTAATTCCCTGTTGCCTTGCTCCTTGGGCCCTCAATTACACCAGCACAGAGTGGGCGTAGAATGTGACCATTTTGATGCGGTAGCATTTTACGCTGGCCTTGGTCTGCTCAATATTGGCCCATTCAAACTTCTCTGTGCCCCTGCTAACCCAGCCGACAAGGGGGTTAGATACCAAATGGGCCTCAGGGGGGAAGTAGATTGTGAAGCCCAAGGTTCTTTGGCGAACGGTTCTACAGAAATCCTAAAGCACTGTTATAAGATCACAAGCTTTGGGATGACAATGTTTTGATGCTGCTCCATTTGGGAGAGGGAGGCTTCTGGTACAGGAGCTCTGGACCAAGAGCTAAAACGCCCAAACAGAAAAAGGAAGCCAGACAAGGAAGACTTTTTTAAGCCCCCATCAGCCTAGGATCAGGGACCCATTCTCAGATGCTGCTTTCAAGTAACATGACCTTGAGAAAAAAGGGAGAAATGATGGATTCCTCTAATCACAGCTCTGCCAAGGGAGCACTGCTGGCAGGAAATGAGAAACTGGTCACAGATTTCAAGGCCAAAAGGGGTCATTAAGATCAAGTCTGACCTGCATGAAACAGGCCACCGAATTCCCCCTAATTTCCAGCATCAAGCCCAAAACTGCTGGTTGAGCACAACACATCTTTTCGAAAACTAGTGAGTCTTGATTTAGAGACTCCGAGCAATGGAGAAGCCACCACATTCCTTGGTAAGTTGTTCCAGTGGTTCATGACCTTCACTGTTCAGAAAAAAAACAGTTACTTACCTTCTCGTAACTGTTGTTCTTTGAGATGTGATGTTCACGTCCATTCCACATTAGGTGTGCGCACGTTGCATGCCCGAGCGTCGGAAACTTTTCCCCTCAGCGGCTCCCAGTGGGCCAGTGGGACCCTCCGAGGGGCGCCATTGCGCCGTGCGTGTATACCCCTGCTGCCCGACACCCTCCGGTTCCTATTTGCTGGCGACTCCAACAGAGAGATAGGAGGGTGGGTGGTGGAATGGACGTGAACAACACATCTCGAAGAACAACAGTTACGAGAAGGTAAGTAACCGTTTTTTCCTCTTTGAGTGCTTGTTCACATCCATACAACATTAGGTGAATCACAAGCTTACCTCTGGAGGAGGGTAGGAGTCACGGAACAACCGATTGGAGGACCAGGTGTGCACCGAGGACCAGGTGGCTGCTCTGCAGACCTCCTGGATCAGGACCTGTGCCAGGAAAGCAGTGGAAGTCGCTTGCGCCCTGGTTGAGTGGGCCATGACCGCCGGGGCCGGAACACCTGTGAGCTCATAGCATGCCCGGATGTAGGTTGTTATTCAAAGACGAGATCTGCTGTGCCGACATCGGGAGGCCTTTCATCCTCTAGGCTACGGCCACGAACAGCTGCGCAGATTTACGAAAGGGTTTGGTGCGCTCCAAATAGAACGCCAGCGCTCGACGGACATCCAGGGTGTGTAGGCTGCGGTGACTCGGGTCCGTATGGGGTTTTGGAAAAAACACCGGCAGACAAATGTCCTGGCCCAAATGGAATTGCGAGACCACTTTAGGGAGGAACTTGGGGTGCGGTCGGAGCTGCACCTTATCCTTGTGAAACACTGTATATGGTGGCTCAGAGGTGAGAGCCCTCAGCTCAGACATCCTTCTGGCTGAGGTAATGGCCACCAGAAATGCCACCTTCCAGGAAAGGTGGAGGAGGGAGCAGGTAGCAAGGGGCTTGAAAGGGGGTCCCATGAGTTTAGAGAGGACCAAGTTAAGGTTCCAAGGAGGGACTGGGGAGCATGAGTACAGAAACATCCTCTCCAATCCTTTAAGGAACCGTCCCACCATTGGGTGGGAAAACACCGAGCCCTCCGAAAACCCCGGATGGAAGGCGGAGATGGCCGCCAGGTGCACTATGAGTGAGGACAGGGCCAGCCCCTACCGCTTGAGGTGCAGAAGACACTCGAGAATGGCTTGCACCGGGGCCTGGCACGGCTGCACCTTTCGGGGCTCGCACCAACAGGAGAACATTTTCCACTTGGCCATATAGGTAGCCCTGGTGGAGGGTTTCCTATTGAAAAGCAGAATCTGCTGCACAGGAAGGGAGCACTGGCTCTCCAAGGCGTTTAGCCACAGAGCTTCCACGCCGTCAGGTGTAGTGACTGCAGGTCGGGGTGGAGAATCCACCCACCGTCCTGCGTGATGAGTCCCGGTGTAGGGGCAGGACTACCGGGGCCTCCACTGACAGCTCTAGGAGCGTTGTGTACCAGTGCTGGCGGGGCCATGCCAGGGCGATGAGGACCACCACCGCCCTGTCCCTGCGTACCTTGAGCAGGACCTTGTGTACTAAGGGGAGCGGGGGAAACGCATACATCAAGCCCCCTCCCCACAGGATTGCAAACGCGGCTGCGACTGAGCCCGGGCTGTGGCCCTGGAATGAGCAGAACCACGGGCACTGGGCGTTGTCCCTGGTGGCAAATAAGTCTACCCGGGGAAACCCCCACCTGCGGAAGAGTGAAAGCACGACGTCCGCTCTGAGCATCCACTCGTGCATGCGATAGAACCTGCTGAGGTAGTCCACCAGTTCATTTCGCACCCCTGGGAGATATGACGCCTCGAGGAGAACGGCGTGGGCTATACAAAAGTCCCAGAGGAGGAGAGCCTCACGACAGAGCGGTGAGGAACGGGCCCCGCCCTGCTTGTTTATATAAAACATGGCAGTAGTGTTGTCTGTCAGAACTGTCACACTGTGACCACTCAGAGTGGCGTGAAAGGTCTGGCAGGCTGGACGAACCGCCCTGAGCTCCTTCACATTGACATGGAGCAACTGCTCTGCTCCGGACCACAAGCCCTGAGTCCTGAGGTCCCCCTTTGGCCTTGGGGATGAGGAAGTACCGGGAGTAGAAACCTTTCCCCCTTAGGCTGTGCGGCACCGCCTCTACTGCCCCCGCCAGCGAGCGAACCGCCTTCTCTAGGAGATACTCGTGAGAGGGGTCCCTGAAGAGGGACGGGGAAGGGGGGTGGGAAGGAGGGAGCGAAGAGAATTGCAGCGAGTACCTGTTCTGTAACGTGCGTAAGACCCAACGATCCGAAGTAATGCTGGACCATGCACGGGAGAAACGGGCCAGGGGGTTCAGGAAACAAGGGGACGGATCCGGTGACTGGTCTGGTACGCTGTCCTCGAGCGCACCTTCAAAAGCCTGGTTTAGTGCCCAGCTGGGACTTGTGCGGGACCTCGGTTCTGGCCCGGTACATTATTATTGTTATTATTGCGCTGTCGCCTGTTATCCCTGCCTCGCCTACAGGAAGGCTCATGCCTATGACGAGGCTGGTACTGTCGCTGAGGGGGAGGCTGCGGCTTAAAGGGCTTCCTCTGCATCACCGGGGTGTGCATACCCAGCGACTTAAGTGTAGCCCTTGAGTCCTTGAGGCAATGCAGCCTTGTGTCTGTCTGGTCCGAAAAGAGCCCGGACCCTTCAAAGGGGAGTGTGCTCTGGACCTCAGGCGGCAGGCCTGACTCCTGCAGCCACGCCGAGCGCCTCATGACCACCCCCGACGCAACTGTTCTGGCTGCCGCATCTGCTGAATCCAGGGAGGCCTGGAGAGAGGTCTTAGCCACTGTCTTGCCCTCGTCCACTAGGGCCGTAAACTCCTGTTGGGAGTGAAACTTCCGCACCGCTGCCCAGGAGTTAAAATTATGCCTGTTGAGGATGGCCTGCTGATTCGCAATCCTCAACTGAAGGCCCCCCGACGAGTACACCTTTCTGCCAAAAAGGTCCAGGGGTTTTACCTCCTTGGCCTTAGGTGCCAGGGCCTGCTGACCATGGCGCTCCCTTTCATTCACTGCCGAGACCACCAAGGAGCACGGACTTGGGTGCAAAATAGGAATTCGTAGCCCTTTGACGTGGCGAAGTACTTGCACTCCACACCCTTGGCCTTTGGAGCACTGGAGGCCGGGGTCTGCCGTATAGTCCTATAATTCGATTGGATGGTCTTAATGAGCGGGAGCGCTATTCTAGATGGACCTTCGGGGCTCAAAATGTCCACCATGGGGTCCTCCTGCTCAACCGTCTCCTCGGCCTGCAGCCCCAAGTTTCGGGCAACCCTATGCAGTAGCTCCTGGTGGGCTCTGCGGTCTATGGGTGGAGGGCCGGACACCGCTGTTCCCGCCACCGCCTCATCCGGGCATGACGAGGAGGTTAGCAGCTGGTCCTCCTGCTCCCCTTCTCCCACGGAAGGGGCCTCTGGCTCAG